GTACCAAATAACACCATGCTTTTCCGGAAAACGCTCAAAACTGCGCAGAATCAAGGTTTTTGGAAAAAGCATGGTGTTATTTGGTACACCCTCCGTTAATATGGGCTACCAAAAATTCTTTTGACATCCAGCTTCCCCCCATGAGGAAAGCCTTCCTTTCGAGAAGATTCTATCTTTCTTTTTTTCCTACGGAGCCATTTTGCCGGGGGGGTCCTGCAGCGTAAACTGCACATTTTGCCAACTTCTCTTGAACTTCGTATTGCTCTAGCATGTTGTATCATAGCTCGAGAGGCCTACAAACATGCTTCTCAATGCGCCCTCAACCACCTCGAAAAAACGGAATGCAAACCCATGATGTCTACATATCAAGTTTTAGGGTTTTGAACATGCTCCCACTGTCGAATACCGTCATACCACCTTAAGCTCATGCAAGGAACGGATAGTGTTAAAGCTCCAACGCTAAAACTAAAACGCTAACACTGAAAACCTAACCCACAAAAAACACCCGCTCCGCACCCGAACCCACCCTAACCCCCAGGCTAATCCTCTAATCCCACCCGTCCCAGAGCTTACTATTCCTGTAGTGTCATTCTATTCCCTGCTCGCGAGAGCTCGACCGACCTTCTTGAGGTGACACCACTGTGACGTTTCGACGTTGCCCAAATACTAGGGGTCTAGCGTTCGAGCCTTCCTCGTCGACATCGCGGCCGTGCCGTTTTGTGGGTGACTCAGCAGGGGAAGGGCAGAAGGGGCCACCAAATTCCCACCAAATTGGCCTCGCGTAAAGCAAACGAGCCCCGGCCGGTGTGCTTAGACGTGATAGACGGTTCCCAATGTTACTGTATCCCGTGCGTACCGCAAAAAATCTGCGCGCCGGGCACCCGAACTCAACCAGCTGGGGGGGGGGGTAGCCAGCTGTTTTGTCTGAGTGGATTATTAGTACGATGCAATTCGTAGATGAGGCTTGAGATGTGATGGCGCAGAGGCGCTGCCGCATCGACAAGATACCGCATGACATCTAACCACCCAACTGTTGTCCTACGTACTTACCCGTTTCTCGGGCCCGGGTGCCTATCTTTAGTCACGTTAGAGGCACAGCGGTGAGGGGGCTCCAAGTCTTTGATTTCGGGCTTTGTGGGCAACCTGCCAGGGACAAACATGCCTACAGTATTGTAGTATGGGCATCGGAGAGATGTGACATGTCCATGCCTGTTGAATGGTATTCATTATAAGCCCTTAATGAGCACCTTAAAAATTAGCACCTACGAGTCCAACCCGGGCCGCACGGAGGGGGCATGGAGGACGCGCATGAAACCGACTGGACGACTGTAGTTTATTCACGCTAGCCAGGCGGCTTAGTAGCCATGCGCTATATGTATAGAAAGAAGAACTACTTCTCGAACTTCCCTATATATGCCAGCCTCTCATCCTCTAAACCCGGCCTAGCAAGTTGCTTGAAAAGAGATCGGCGAGCTGAGTATGTATCCGCCGCAGTCCTGAAGGACGTGTGAAGGACAACCCCGCATATAATGCCAGGCGATTCAATTCTTGGGCGGGAACCCCAAAGTCGCAACGCCGTCTAAACGAAAATCAGTCCATCAAAACCGTCAGTTGATTGAATTTGGTAGTATCTTAGTATACATGGAGACATGGACATTGTCTAGTAGTACTAGCAATTGGGGCAGCCGATCCCCAATTGTCCGGGTATGCTTTGAAGCTCGTTTGAAGAAGTTATAAGTCGTTGCTTAGTATATAGGTACTATATACTACGGTTTCATACCGTGGCTCCCCTTGAAGGCGCTCCTGCCGCAACAATCGAAGGGGCATTGCACCTGAAGAGTTGCCGGCCACAGCTTCTAGGCTTCTTTGGCTCTTACATACGTACATAGCACATGGATTTTTTGCGCTCATATGTATATGTCCAATTGTTCTGACCGGATTGGCAGAGTATGTTGCAGTTCAGTGCCACACTGAATTTACTAGAAATGTCATTTCCAAGTTTTTTTTGGCATGCAAGCACTAGTGCACGACCATGCGACGGTTTCGGGAGACGTGCAACACATTGTCATGCATTCACTTAGTCGTTTGCCGCATCGATCTATAGCACCGATGGGATATGGCATGACAGCTCTCTGTCATGCGAGTAGGCTCGGGATTTGATTAGGCTCGCGGTAACTAGAGGGTGGGACATGTGTGCCGGCAATTAAGTGTTAAAATTTCTTAGCCATTTAAATGGTGCATTCACGGAGTAGGTAGCTTGCGACAACATTGCCGCTTGATTGAGAGGTGGTCTTGACGGCAACCACCGTGCATTGAGTAACATAAACGGCAATTCCTGAATGTCCATTTATCTACAATCCACCATCTCTAGCTCTTACACATGTTAGTTGGGGATCCGTCAGCCGACTCGATTCCAGGGCGCTATCATTGCAACTTACACGAAGCCTTTAGAATATCCCGACAAGAAATACTCGTGCAACCAATGACCCTACATAGTTGTCGAACTCCTGAAATAACTGAAGCACCCGTTCAAGAAGCATGGACAATGTCTTCTGTACTCTCCTTTGCCTATACCGTCACCCTTAATCCCTACACATCTCGTGAAGTATCAACTGGCTCTGGACGGCTACAACGAGCATAGCACGCCTGTATACAAAACCCTCTACCTCTCATCGTGCTGGCCGGTACCTACGACTGCTTCCGTGTGTCATCGCCGTTTCTTGAGAGCTGAAAGATCGATAAAGTCCGAAAGCCTGCACAAAGCGATAACACGGCAGATGACGCAATGGCAACGAGTAGAAGCCAAGAACCTTTTCATCGCTTCCACCGCCCGAGCAATGCCGCTTCAGAAAACGTAACATTCTTATCGGTCCCAAAGTACTACGACGACTCTATGACCTTGCGTGTTGCTGACGGGTCCAGTTTCATGGCTTGCTAACTTTTCAACAACCCAAATGGGACACTGGTCGCACTTGACCAACCCTGATTGTCACTGTCCCGTCCGCAGCGTGAATTCCTCCTCACGCCCGTTCTGGAAGCGGCAGTGCCGGCAAAGGTGATTTACCATTGTGAAGCCAAAGGGATACTCACACTCAATACTACACGTTTTGACGGAAACTGCTCTCACCTGACCGATTTTGGGATGGTGACAGAACTATCCGCCGTCCCCAGATGCCGCATCGTGACTCCTTCCACGCGCCCGTCACAAAGGCGGTTGCGGTAAAAGCGCCCAAACCAGGTCACTTCTCTCTTGAGGCCAAAGGAATCAAAACCCTAACTCCTAAACATAGGGCAGAAGTGGTCTCACCTGGTAGACTTTGCAATGGTTTCTGTCCCATCGGGAGACCCCAGATACGTCCGTCGCGGAAGCGGCGCTGGCAAAGGCGCTTTAACGCGGTCCTCGTGAAGTCACAGGATATCCATACTAAACACTACAGGTTTTCAAGGCGACTGCTCTTACCTGACCGATTTGGCAATTGTCACTGTCCCGTCCGCAGTCCCCAGAAGCCGCAGTGTAACTTCTTCCTCACGTCCGTCGTGAAAATAGTGTCGGCAAAAGCACTTTCCCCAGGTCATCTTCGAACTAAAAGTCCGGATGCAATTTGGATTCCCCTGATCCATTTTGCGGAAAACACTGTCCCGTACGGCGACGAACCTTCTCCAGCGCTCCCGTCACGGAACGGTGGCAGCCAAAGCGGCTTATCCAGTTTGTGAAGGCAGACTCAAAACCTTAAAACCAACAAGGCGAAGTATCTCACCTGACTGATTTTGCGATGGTCACTGTCCCGTCCGCAGTTCCCAGGTGCCGCAGCGTGACTTCTTCCTCACGTCCGTCGCGGAATCGGTGTCGGTAGAAGCAGCTGGTGCCGAATGGGCAGCTGCCGTCACCGAAGTTGAAGTGGCGGCAGTCGATGGCTTTGAGCTTCCGCTTGTAGCCCTCCAAGATCTGGTCCTTTTCCTCTGGACTGGCATACCAAACCTGGAGAAAGATGATCAAGATGATTATGGGTCCTGGTTACTCGAGGAGTTTCGAAAAGCCCAAGTAAAGTTCCGACGATCGAGCAAGGAAATGCTTTTTTGAATGAAGTTGGAAGGGCTTTCGAGCTTGGCCGTCCAGGAATCGGCGTTTCCCTCTTCACTGAGAGCGTAGAAAAAAATGTCACGAGGACCTTTCGAAAGTTTTAGACGCCCAAGACGAGTACTGAAACTAATCCAGACAATGGAGTGCTCTTATCGGAAGCTCAAAGTGCGCTCGGGTCTGCAATACGAGAATCCAGAATGTTCTTCTTCTCCTCGGGCCTGCAAATCGAAACCTGCACTGCATCTGACAGGGTTTTGAAACCAGGCGGTTTGCCAAACGGACAGAGTTCGCCGAAACTGCGGGGACTGAAACTACAGTGTTCGGCCTCCAAGAATTAAGAGCGCTTGCTTTGGACTCAGTGATTAAGCCTCAGCCTCTGCGCAAGCGCTGCGCTGCGCGAACGCATCTTATGGCTATTAGGACGACAACACGTGCTTGTACCTTCCGTTTGCTCCGGGTCTGTTTTCCTTTCCCACAAACTGAACAAGAAGTGTCGAAAGAGAAGGGACGCAGCATCCAAATAAGGCCGGGCATGACTGGATAGCGAAGGCCTCTGCAAACGAGAAAGGGACAAGCAGCAAAGACGAAAGCAATTAAAAAAAAACAAGGGAAACAGGGAGTTGATTGCCACACGCGGCGTGACGAGGTAAGAATGCTGTGGACACTCAGGGACGAGCGCACGAAGACGTTACGCTCCAAACCCCCAAAAAAGAGCATGTGCGGATAGCTATTCAAAATAAGAGTAATAGATACAAGAAAGGAAACTCAGGGACGAAAAACGGAGGATGGCTTACCACACTCGGCGTGACAAAAGTAGGACTGCTATCCCCAGAAAGGGCACAAGCGCACAACGGCGTTGAGGTCCAAACCCAAACAGGTACAGAATAAAGAACAAACAATGACTGCGAAAAAGAACCAAAAGCAGAAATAGCAGATACAGGAGATTGAACTAGGGTTAGCTTACCACACTCGGCGGGACGAAGTAGGACTGCTGGCGGCACACGGGGCGCACGAAGGCGTTCAGGTCCAACATCAAAACAACTAGAAGGAAAACAAGGAAAGAGTATTTGCAAATCAAAACAGAACGAGAAAAAAACAGATACAAGAAAACAGCCAGGGATTGGAAAGGCGGTTAGCTTACCACACTCGGCGTCACAAAGTAGGACTGCTGTCGGCACACGGGGCACGGGCGCACGACGGCGTTGAGGTCCAAACCAAAAAGACAATTACACAAAAGTCGAAAGTACAATGGTTGCAGATTGGGGGGGGAAAAAATCTAAGTGGTACAGGAAAAAACAGTCAGGGACGGCAAAAAGTGGTTAGCTTACCACACTCGGTGTTACGAAGTAGGACTGCTGTCGGCACACGGGGCACGAGCGCACGACTGCGTTGAGGTCCATTCCGGGCGTCGTATGGTCGCCGCTGCGCCAGCCGCGTATGCAGCCGATGCAAAAGGCATGGTCGCAGCCGGAGAGGATCCCGAACTTGCGCTCGGCGACCCGCGGTTTCGAGAGGACCTGCACGATAGAGCAGCCTTTTTCAGAACGGCAGAAATTAGGGATTAGGGAGGGGGCAAAAGAAAAAGAGACAAGGAAAAGAGCAAGCGCGCTGTCTTATTCAAGGTCGCAGGAGGATCCCGAACTTGCGCTCCGCGACTTGCGGTTTGGAGAGGACCTGCGCGAAACGAGCATTCTTTCTAAAAACGGCGAGGGGGGAGATGTTGAGGGGATAACGGGGGCACAGGACAGAGAGATGAGACCGACTAAGAAGGTTCCAAAAGGACCTGCGAAACAGAGCAATCTCGTTCGGCTGGCCAACGGAAAGGGACGATGAGATACAACATGAGGCAAGGCAGAAAGACGAAGAGAACAATTTTGCGTCGGGGACCTGCGGCTTCGAGACAACCTCGAAAGAACAATCTCGTTTGGCACTGAGACTGCAGAAGGGGACACAAAAAAACAGACGAGGGCCGAAGACTAAAGAGAAAAGGGTTGCGCTCCTGCGACCGACAAATTGCATACAACCTGCGCAGAGAGCAGTAACGTTTTGGATGGAAGTGAGGACACGAGGAGATTCAAGAGAGGGGTAGGTCGGGAGGAAGAGGGGAAACCCATTGCGTTCTGCTTCCCAAGATATAAAAAGGACGCAGAGAACAATCACTTTATCTAGAACGGCAAGGACACAGAAGGTAGGGGGACGTCAGAAATTGAGGGCAGGACAGAAAGATGAGGGAGGAGAGATCTACGCTATGCGATCCCAAGCAGCTGGTTTGAAAGGTTTCCTTCCCGCTTTGCGAAATGAGCCGTCACGTTTGGAACGGTAATAAAAGCAGAAGACGAGGGAGTAATCTCGAAGCAGGAGGGCCCAGCACGATGCGAAGTGAAAGCTTAAAAATCTCCGGCTCTGCTATTCAAATTAGAACGGCGCTCCAAGTAACGGTACGGACGTTGAAATTATGCTGAACAAACGAGAGGGGCAAAGGAATGGAAGAACAGGTCAGGCAGACAATGGAAGGGGAAAAAGGTAGCTTGGAGCCGCTTCTCAAGATCCCTCGTCGAAAGAACATTGGAAACGGACGTCTCATATACAAAGGCTTTTCCGGGTTACTCCTAGGACACAACAAACTGACCCAAAAGCAGACGCTCCAGCAGGCAGAAAGACAGCTTTCTAAGTCGAAGGCAGGAAGAAGCTTTTAATGTCCAAGAAAGCAGAACATATCTGCTTCAAAAGCACAGCACTGGCCCGCAGTTGCTCTGACCTCTTACTTTTCATACGTTACCATCAGACATCCAGTGGAGTCAAAATCCCGACCAACCAGAAAGCATCCAGATCTTTTCACTTCTCAAGGTCAAAGCTCGAAGACTATCTTATTCTTTGACGCACACACTACTGTATCAGCATAAACCCCGAACCGTTGTATTCCTAAATCCTCGAAACCTCAAATTTGTCCAAACTCACCCGCTCGAGACACACGCAGCACTCCACCTTCTGGCTCTTCTGCAGCTGCTTCAATTTCTTCACCCGTTTCTCGCACCCCTCCAAATGCTCTTTAGTTTCCTCGGGCCGGTGCGGGTGCAGGCACCGCTTCCCGCACGATGGACACTTGTCGCCGTGCAATTGGCCGCAGCTTCCCCCGTCTTTTTCCCGGGGGCAGTCCCCGGCAGCCGCGAAAGGGCAGATCGGTTGATCCTTGGGGGAAAGGTTTGGGTTTGCGTTGTCGGTTTCGGAAGGGTTTGCGTTTGGAGAGGCAAGATGGGGAAAGTCGTCTAGCGAGTTGTTTCTCACGAGGCCGGAGGTTTGAGGCGTCTCTGCAGTTTCGCTGCTTTGGGGGTGTTCGGAGTTAGTTTCGGGGGGGTTCTGAGGGGCGGCAGGGAACGGGGTAGCGTGGTAAACCTGAGGGGTTTGAAGATACGGGTTTGCCGCTTCAGGGTATGGTTGCGCATACTGCTGGTAAGGTGCTGGGGAGTAAGTCTGCGGATACATTTGACCAGGGACATAAGCTATTGGGGGCGACGGAGAAAAGCTCTGAGGATATGGCTGCCCGGGCACATAAGCTATCCCCTGCATCTCATACCCGTTCATCGCCGCGTACTCGTCCTGGTCGCTTATGGTCATTTGGTCCACCCAGTCCCACAACTCATCGGGCAGCCCGTTGTCCTCATAGGGTATGCCGTTCTCGTCCGTCAGCCCATAAGGCGGCACCATAAGCGCGCCCCCCATGTGAGGGGGGTAGCCCGCGGCAGGCATATACTGCCCCCCATTTGGATCTTGATAAGTGGAAGAGGGGGAGAAGGCACGCGCGGCAGAGTTCAAGCCTGGGCTTATGCTGTGGGGGATCCCTGGGCTGACTTTCCCCCCTTCTGACGCTTCCTGCAGATGAGGGGGTCTCCATGCCCCCCGCTGCACATCGAACTCCTCCCCTGAAGAATCTCTAGCGTTCTCTGCCTGCTCGCTCGCCTGAGCGGTCCCGTTAGACATTCCTAAGTCTGAGGTTTGCCGGGGAAGATCTGACTCGCTGGAATCGAGTAAGGGGGTTTCCGTGGCAGTGTGCGATGACACCCCCCCAGAAGCGGACCCGTTTCCATCGGAAACTTCGCCGCTAGCACTCCTCAGAACTGCGTCCACTGAGTTGGGGCCCTGCTGACCAACTGCATGCCCGTTTTCCACCCCTTTCGTCGGACTCTTCGCGCCAGAAACAGGGCCCTTGGGCGCATTTGCTCCTTTTTCCCCGGGCTTCGACAGTTCCCTCCCGTTCTCTTTTCGCGCCTTTGCAGCCATCGCCGCCCAAGACTTGCCCCCGTTTGCATCGACGCCGTCCCTATTCACACCCCCCTTGTCCTCACTCACTGGCCTGGTGGGAATTGGGCTCTCCACCTGAGTTCCCCCCAGAATCATTGCAGTGGGGCTGTGGGCCGAAACAAGCACGGACGGGGGGCTGCTTTCGGGGGCGGGATGACCCCCGGCTGCGGGCTTTCCGGCAAGGGGGCCCCAACCTTGCGTCTCGGCAAGCTTCCGGGCAGAGACATGTTCGTAGCGACAGTTTGTTCCATAGCTGCAGTTTCCACGCAGGTAAAACGTGCACACCTGGAAGTACAGAAAAGGCGTTAGCGAATTGCGACTTGAATAGACCAACGTCCTCAGCGGCTTCTGAAAACCGGGAATCTCCCAATCTGAAAATTGATAGTTGACGAGGCCAACTTATTGCTCACTTGGTGACGTACTCGAAAGCAATACGTGCATAAACCTTCTCCAGAAGGACAAGCAGTGAAAGCTTTTTGCGAAATCCACTTTTGGTGCGACTAACCGATATCCAGTGTTGAATAAAGTTGCGTACTCCAAACATGCAAATCTGAACTTATGAAGTATGCAATGCAAAGGCAAAGACCATGGTTTCTCTAATTTTATAAAAGACTCCTGTCAAAAGGACCTGAACGATCAACTCGTGTTTGGAATACACAACTAACACCACCGTTTGGTGAAAGATCTGTGTAAGAGAATCGCAACAGATCGCACCGTCACTTTTCAATTACTCAAACGGCAAGGCATAAGACAAGAGTGGCTACTGCAGAATCTCAGAGTGAGTACGTATGCTACTCAAGGAACCGCCAGGAAAGCATTGAATTGACATTTTTGGTGCAGCAAAAACTGTGCATATAGCATGATGTTAAGTACGTAAGGAAAAGATGAGTGCCCCAGCAAAAAGATGTACAGGAGACTTACATTGCTCGGCTGATCTTTGAGGTTGTGTGAGAAGGGGCAAGCGTCGCCCTTCTTGCACGCGTTCAGCGCAAAGTAACGACACAGCACCCTGCGCATGTCAACGGAACAGGTGCGGTCAACAAACCCGAGTTACGCACCCTCTCAACCAGATACTGGAAAATAATGTATGAAGCTGCTGACACATGGTGTAGTAAGGCGTGCACAGAAAGCACTTGACAAGCATGCCAGAGAAAGTACACCATTACCAAGCTGTCCTGCTGTCATTCTGATGTGAAGCATGCATCGCGACTAGTTTTGTCGCCAGAATTCCTCCAGACGCCAGAGTCTCAAGCACATGACAGCAACGTCGCGCGCGAGCAGATTTTAAAAACGAAGAAAGTGACAAACCTCTTCTGCCGGACGTTACTCATTTGACTGATGGTATTTAAATCTCTAGATTACTAACTCTAGATTACTAATTGCCCATAACAAATCCTTCTGTCATGCAACATATGTGGAGCCTGAAGCCGCACTGAAAACAACCATGACACAAGGGCCCAAACGCCCAGGAGAGAAGAGGAAGATATTTACCTATCCGTCATTTTTGCGGTCCGCCGTCTTGCACGCACTGGGAATTGACAAACCTCTTGTGCCGGACGTTACTCATTTGACTGATGGTATTTAGATCTCTAGATTACTAACTCTAGATTACTAATTGCCCATAACAAATCCTTCTGTCATGCAACATATGTGGAGTCTGAAGCCGCACTCAAAACAACCATGACACAAGGGCCCAAACGCCCAGGAGAGAAGAGGAAGATATTTACCTATCCGTCATTTTTGCGGTCCGCCGTCTTGCACGCGCTGGGAATTATCTTCAACACGCCTCCATCACAGCCAAGAAGGTGGTACAAGCTCCCTCAGGCTCAGGGGTGGCAGCTCAGACCGCCCCAGAAGACAGCACAGAACATGTGTGGCATCGTGTGCATGCAGGGGGAGGGCCCGGTAATGGTTACGACACACCGTCCGTTACCATGTTCGGTCGCATATAGCTGCATGATCACGAAACCCTGCAAACCCTCAGACGTCACGGTCTTTATCCGGGCCGCTCGGCGCGCGCCGCGGTCGTACGCGCACAGGACAGACAACGGTCCAGCTACGTAGTACGTACAATCGGCTAAGTTGTGCACAATTACTAACAGCTATCATTGACGTAGAGCTGCCTACACCGAGTCAGAGCTAGATCGAGCAATAGCCCCACATACAGGCGCACGTGGGCAGAACTGCGGGTCAGATAAACGGCCTCGCCCCGCTCGCCTCCTTGCACAACTAGTATCATCGTATGTTGCCACGTGTCGTCCAACTTTCACCCAAACATGCACTCAATGATCCAGTACCGCGGCCGCGCCGATCCATATACGAGATATATTGCAATGCTCCTCGAGGCATAACCTTGAAACTTGGCCGCAACTTTACTGCTGCCATCTTCGGGCCTGCCATGTGCGTATCCCCAGGTGATCATACGCGGCACATCCAACATGCATCGGCATGTGCGCGCGCTGAGGAATTGCAGCATTGATCAAAGTGATGGTAAGCGATCAAGCATGCATGTGTTCTAGCGCGTTCATGCGGCCGCCGAGCAGTGGGAACTTATCCTCTCCAAAAACAAAAGACCGATTCTTTTTGCGGTACCACTGGCTCCGTTTTACACGCTAACATTCTGCACGGGAGCTGCCGTCTTGCTAATACGCTTCATGATTCCCGCAATGACCTGCAACACAGCCAGACAAGAACGGTCAGCTTTGATCCAGAACCTTTTGCACATTTTGAACGCCGAAGTGGTATTGACGCCTAGGCGTCCTACTGCTAAAGACACAATCGTAACCATCGTATTTTGTATTCAAATACACTCTCAACCAACTATGCGGCGAGACATCAAGACCTCCAATCAAACGCAAGTAACTTTTGAGTGTGAGAACGGGTCGATCGCGCCCTTTGATAACGGCCGCAGGAAGCTACTCAGAGTCACAAAGTGAAGTTCATGCAAAGGGCGAAGTCGCGGAGGCATTGCCGAAACTCCAGTCCCTATACCCATGCGGGAAAAAGAACCAGTTCGACTCAAGATCGTGGCCGCAACAACTGGGAATATTGTCCTGCTACTCTAAGAGTTGGGGGAAGAGCTCAATTGAACGTGGCAATTCTCTTACGACAACGCTCATAATGTGAGAACTTCGTGATTCTGGCTACAATTTCGGGTCTATGCTCTTCCAGATCCAAACCTTCTTGCAAAGCACAGAGAAGCATTCAAAAGTTTCCAGCGGAAAAATTGGGACAAGATGGAGCACATGAAACGGGCACAAAACGGCAACTGATGACTCACCTTGCCAGGCCCCAACTCGTACGTGTTCTCGAGCCCCTTTTCTAGGAGCGTGTTTAGCGTGGTCTCCCATTGGACGGGTGACGTCACCTGCGTTTGCACGTCAGTCCGTGTTTCAACAACGTAGGACCAAGCGCTCGGTAGGGTGAGGTTATCGCGAGTTGTGAAGTTCAGGGTGTTTCGTCAGATCTTTGTTAAGGGCTTACGAGGGCGTCTATCCTTTGTGGCTTGCGGCGACACACACATAACCGACATCGAGTAAAAGACGCCACGAGATTGAAGCACGTGGCTCATCCAAGCGACAACAAAGGCGTGATTCTGGGCGAACGGTCGCCCTGCCGGACATGTTCTACGAGCCCCCTTTCAGCGCAACTTAAGAAAGGAAGATATGTGCTTGTTCGCCATTGTAGTTTGCCAGAAGAGTGTTATAAAAGTCGACTCGAAGACGTTGGTCACTCAAGAAGCGTGACAAATAGAAAAAACAGAAAATCATCGAGCAGGAAAGCAGTCGGGCGCAGAGTACCCGTGACTCGGACTGTCGCTATTCGCGTTTGAGAGGCATCTCGTATTCCGCCTTACAGCCCGTTGTGAAAGAGCGGGAAGAAGTCGAGCGCTCTTCTTAAAGACTGGGTCCACTCATTCTCCATTTTTCACAACTCGCTGAACCGTTGTTAGGATTAAACCGAAACGCCAGAGTGGTAGCTTGCTGTCACAAAAGCTTCCTGATTTAAGTACTTTGTCTTTCCCAGAGAGTAATTATCTCAGTGATAAAGCGAGTAACCTAAAGTGCCCTACAAGTTAGGATCGAACGGGGGGCCAGCAGGTGGAAACCCTCCGGTCAGTTCGCCCCTGTTTGGCAAGGGATGTTCGGAGGCTCCGCAAACATGGATCTGCATTTTCGTTTGACGACACCATAATAACCATAGCACCTCTCTCTCGACCCAGCAATAGCGGACGATGACGGCGAGAAACTGACCAAAACCGGGATAAAAAACCAAGCCGAAAGATGCGCTCCGCTTCGCACCTGTTTCGCCAGGATCTTCTTGATCGTCTCGGGGTCCGAGTGCGGCTTCGCGTCGACGTTCGACACCACCGGGATCCGCGGCTTCTTGATCTCCGTCTTGGCGAGCACCTCCTCTAGTTTGGGCACCGCGGGGCCCATGAAGTCAGTGTGAAAAGCCCCCGCCACCGCCAGCCGCACCGCCATGCGCGCCTTGAACTCGGGCTTGGCGCGCTTTTCCACCTCCTCGATGCCCTTGATCCCACCGGACACGGCGTAGTTTCCCTGCAGGGGAAAAAGTTCTATATCAGATTCTTGCGTCTTCTCAAGTTCGGGTTTGGCGCGCTTTTCCACCTCCTCGATGCCGTTTGATTCCACCGGAATCGGCAAAATCTCCTGCAGTGAAGGGTGTATTCACATCAGATTCTTGATGCAGAGCCTTCGTGATGCAGAGGCCTCCGTCTCCGCCTACTTCAAGTCCTCGATGCCTTTGATCCCGCCAGACACGACATAGTTCCCCTGCACCGGCGGGGGGTATTCACATCAGATTCTTGCGCAAGCAGGGGCGCTTTGAATCGATCAAAGCAGATCCTCGGTCCGCTACGTGCGCCCTGAATTCACGCTTTTCCACCTCCCCAATGCCCTTGATCCCGCCAGAGACGGTGTGATCCCTGCGAGTGGGAATATTCATATCACTTGACCAAGACGAGGCTCCTCGGACTCGAGCTTTGCGCGCTCTTCCACCAACTCGATGCCCTTATCCCGCCAGAGACGGCATAGTGTCCTTGCAGGGGGAGGGGGGTATTCGTGTCAATTTGTTGCGCTCTTTGAACTGGGGCTTTGCTCGGTTTTCCAGCTCCTTGATGCCCTTATGCCGCCGGAATGGCAGAAGTTCCGTGCACCGAGGGCGGTGATTACTTTGGATCTTGCGAGCAGGGGTTCCTTGAAACCGGGCTCCGCCCTTCTCCAACGGTCGTGGTTGGCGGCCTCGCACAGCTGCGCGACCTTGCCAGAACCTATCAATACGCAAAATGGCTCCGACTCTTTTCCTCACCGGTAAAATGGTTCGACAAATACTTACGGGGCACAAATAGTTGCAATCCGCACGCCCTGGGGGTCTCACAAATCTTTGCGGCCTTGCCAATACTGATGAGATGCAAGACAAATGGCCCTATTCCCTTCAAGCTTTGGGAAAGGAATAGCGACGGATCGGCCTGGCGTCTGATCGGCAGAAAACTGGGGTCGCAGTTAATTGGGGAGCCGCACGCCCTCCCCCATCCCCGACAATCGCACTCGGAGCCTCACACCGGACAAAACGAAACCGCGAACTCCCGCTACTATCACCAAATGGAAGTTGTCGAAAGCATTGAATCACAGAAAGAAGCCAATTGCTCTAATGGGCAATTTCTAAAGGGGCACATGCAATTGGCAATCCGCACGCCCTCCCCTTCGCCAACGGCTGCGCCGGCGGCCTCGCACAGCTCCGCACTGATTTATTAAGTAATAATTCCCAAGATCTCGAAAATATCAACAAAAGGAAACGCAGACGCTTACGGGGCACAGGTAGTTGGCAATCCGCATGCCCTCCCCTTCGCCAACGGCCGCGCCGGCGGCCTCGCACAGCTCCGCGACCTTGCCAAACATCGTCAACAAACAAAATGGCCTTGTTCCTTGCAAAGTGTGTGAAAATGCGAACACTCACGGGACACAAATAGTTGGCAATCCGCACGCCCTCCCCTTCGCCAACGGCTGCGCTGGCGGCCTCGCACAGCTCCGCACTGTTTCATTAAGGAATAATTCCCAAAACGGCCCCGAATAAAACAACGAGCGGGAAACGCAGACGCTTACAGGGCACAGGTTGTTGGCGATCTGCACGCCCTCCCCTTCGCCAACGGCCGCGCTGGCGGCCTCGCACAGCTCCGCACTGTTACATTAAGAAATAATCCCCAAAACGGCCCGGGATACATCAACAAAAAGACATGCACAAACTTACGGGGCACAGGTAGTTGGCGATCCGCACGCCCTCCCCTTCGCCAACGGCCGCGCTGGCGGCTTCGCACAGCTCCGCGACCTTGCTGGAGTCGAGCCCGATGATGCTGGCCATGCCGCTCGGGGCCGCGTCCGACGCCGCCTGCATCGCCTCCCCGCGCGTCTTCACGATGCGCAGGCCGTCCTCAAAGCTGCGAAAAGATTGACACTTGTTTAACGTCTATTCAAGATAGGAACTTGATAAGCAAAGTTTTTGGATGCCTTGCCTCCCTGCGCGTCTTCACAATGCGCAGGCCGTCCTCAAAGCTGCGAAAAGGAAACAATTTGTCGATGTCTGATTAAAACAGGAGTCTAGAAAAGAGCTTTTTGAAGTGTTTGTCTCCCCGCGCTTTTCCGGATGCGCGGTCCTTCCTCACAACTGGAGAAGGATGACACTTGTTTGAAGTCTTTTTGTGAACAGGAACCAGGGTAGAGAGGTTTCTGAATTCTTTGCCTCCTCACGCGTCTTCACAATACGCGGGCCATCCTCAAAGCTGCAGAAAGGAAATGCTCAACTGGTGTCTCCTTAAAACAAGAGTCTGGAAAAACATTTTTCGAAATGGACTCTGAAGTCTTTGCTTCCTCGCGACTTTTCGCGAATGTGCAGGCCACTTTTAAAGCTGCAGAGCATAGCGTTTGTATGCTATTCTGTCGACCAAAAGACCCTGTCTATCCGGAAGCCTTGCTTCAGTACGTCTTCAAAATCAAAGAGCTGCAAAGCAAAGGACCCGTTAGAAAGTCCCTTCGTACAAGACTTTCAAACAGAGAATCCTCGTTGGTGCCTCGCTACTCGGCATGTCTTATGCAACGCGCAGTTTGCCTCCGAACCGCGTGCATTTACAGCGACTAACATCAAGTGACACGTTGGAAATTACTGTGCTTTGGAAGTTCTCTGCCTGACTTCAAGCTTCTCTTGCGCTCCATTTCCAGAATCACAATGACGAACGCAAGACGCCACGTTCGGATGCACAAGAAGCTGGGTCAAATGAAGTCGATTGTCGTTTCTGCCGGACACACGCCAATCCGTCTCTCAGACCGCAGTGTCATTTCTGACCTGATGGCCCCTGCAAAAGCGAGCGCAGTGTACTCCCCTAGGCTCAGCCCCGCCGCCACGTCCGCAGCCTCGATGGCGGCTCTCCCCTCCTCCGTCGTGCGGAGCTTTTCAACGGCCGCCAGGCTGGCAACGTAGATAGCAGGCTGTGGAGGCGAATGCGTACAATTGGAATCAAACAAAACAAATAATACTTTTATTTTGGATCGAAGATGTCTGTTCTAGGGGGAAATCTAGGAGGAGAATCCTTTCGCCATTTCAATCCGCTTTTCGCATTCGTTTCAAATGTGAGTCGCCTGGCAGAGCACGGATGAGGGGAGTCGGTTTTGGAAAGAAGCTGAGGCTGGGGCTTCTTGTGAAAAGACTTGTTGTGAACGGACGTGACATCACCCGATTGATTTGCACCACGATTTGCACTCTACCCCAGCCTTCGATTGGACGGTTCCGGCGGTAAACTCGAATTCCGGGGCGTCACGCGTTGTCAACAAGGCCTGGTAACTTCTTTTCTGAACTGACTCTCCTTGCCTCTGCTGTAACAGTCCGTTCGATGACCAACCTGTTTCATCACTCCAGGTCCCATGCCTTTAAAAACTCAAGAGAATGAAAAGACCCCTGAATGAAAAGACCCCTGCTGGCACATAATACATGTATCACGAATTTCTGACTGACGCGATTGGTAGTGTGGACATGATAGATAGTACTCAAGATTGATTGGGACTCCGAAATGCACTGCAAATCTTACCTGGCTGACCACGGTAGAGTTCAGTTTCTCTGAGGGTCCATTGAGGCAAATCTCGAGGAGGTCGTACCTGCACATAGAGTCGGAAGTAAGATTATGGGTCACTGAAGAAAGGCAACTCGTACCACAGTTGCGACCATGCTCAATACGGATAAACCAGATGACACTGCAGAAAATCGCATTCTGGGAGCTTGGTCCACTTTAGATACACCACAAAAGTCTGAACTCTAGTGTGCTCCGCCTAACTCGTTGTTTGACTGACACTCCGCGAAAGAATGGGCAAATTGGAGTTGGCGATTCACAGGAGGCAACCCGTTTGCATGCTGCAAACCATGGGATCTAGGGAGCGAACCAAGTTTGTTCCTTCCACCAGTGACATCAGACTCTACGCTGTCCTCCGCTTATCAACCATTGAGGGGACAAAATTTCGTAGAGACAGCGTATAGCCCTCAGATCGAGCTAGCGCCCCACGTGAGCATGCTGTGACGAAAACGAGAAGCACCAGCCAAAGAATAACGCGATGCGCAAGACTGGCTACATGGTGAGTGCGAAACCGGAGGCCTAAGAATAAACATACTCGAATCATACCTGATCGAGCTCAATAAAGAGAGATATGCAACTGGTACAAACTTGAGGACTTCGACACGTATTGATTTTACCAATCTCTCTCTTAACTAAAAGTGCCATCTGAGATAGGAGACTGAACGAAGTAGATTACCAAAAGGTCTTTCAGCTAAATTAACAAAAGGTGAGGTTCAGAAATGGAAATGGATGAGGGTTAAGAGGCGCACCCCAAAATCTCCTTTGCCTTCTCAAAGAGCGCTGCAGCCTCCGGAACGTCCTTGGCTTCTGCGCCCATGCCGACAGCTTGAGCTCCCTGGAAAGAAATGACAGCCCTCGAATCATTTCATTTCCCCTTTTCACATCCGCAGCAAGAAAGTAGAGTTTATGCTCCATGTGATGATGCACAAATTAAAACGCATGGGCTTGGGTGTCTTTCTGGTCCTGAAAGACTAGAAGATCTGTAACCGGTGGGACCAGTCTTCCGCTTCATCCTCTTCCGAACTTGGACATTGAATAATAAACTTCCGTTTGGTGGTGCGACAACATGGATTCTAATGCTGATTTGGATCAATTCGGTAGCGCTGCAGTCCAATCAAATGAAGCGAAATGTTTTGCACAGAGCCAAGGATGTCTAAAAAGGCCTGACCAACAGTTCTGCATGTTTTGAAAACAGATAACTATGACACTTTTTGAGTAGTGGTACATGATGGCAAGCAGTAGAAGGGAAGGGGACGAGGACACCAGGTCTTTCAATGATACAGCAGAACCTTTGCATTCTGCCGTGTGGTGGCTTAAATGATGGTGTGCTCTGCCATGGAGTCAGCGATCTCAAATCCAAAGAAGCGAACAGGGAAAGAAGTAGCCAAACGAAGCACCACAGCACCGCGTGATTGAGTCAAAGCAAGAGAACGGGTTTGACAGATGATGCGCCAAAGTTTGGCATTCATCTTCTGTGCGAGCCGCAGTTGAGGGTTGCCTTTTCCCTTGATAAAAAAGTATAGCCTTCCTGGGAAGACACGCGGACCATCACATGGACTCAATTCATTTAGCTACCCTTCGAAACTGGGTATGCTGGAGTTGGACGTCACAAGCTGAGCACACTTCAATTGCTGAGCGTCACCCAAAACAAAAGCTGGAAGGCGCCAGAGCTTTAAAACCATTGAAACGATCGAAAGCCCAGAGCCATGTGAAAGGCCATGATGACAGGCCGCGATTGGAATGTACTCTACCTGGCCAGGGAACAGGAACGCTGTGCTGACTTTGTAATCCGCAAAGAGCTCATCGCTGACCGCCGTCTCTGTGCTGACGCTCATCGAGCAACTCCGCGCGTTCTTCCGAGCATGACCCACCGGTTTTGGGAGTTTGGCTCCCCATACTTCTGATCTCAGCACCTGAGCTGATTTAGCTTCTTGGCTGCATTGTCTGACGGGGCCGGCCTTTGTTAGTCGCCTTGGGAATGAGGTTACTGGCAAAACGGCTGACTTCACCCGTTGGCATGGCCGGACTGCGTGCAGCAAAGGGCTGCTGAGCTGGAAGTTAAGCTTGGCGACGGTGTGCGTGACAGCCATTGCTGCTTGCACGGCAACTGAACCCTGACTGATCGGCTGAGAAGGGACCCTCGAAGGATGACAAGCACTGGGGGGAGTGGTGAGGCGTAATGCAGCTTTTGTTACAGAGGGTCCTTTCACAAAGCCCTTGTAATCCAAGGGCAGACAGGGCAGACAGGGAAAAAGAGCGCAATGGCGCGAATACAATTTACAAGATCCCAAAATGCTCCGCTTGGGTCAGCATTGCGATTTGCAGATGCTCATTGCTCAGCCTCAGGCCTCAGGATTGGCACAGCCCTGATGGGCTGACGCCACACATGCCAGCAGGGCATGCCAGACATGCAGCGCTCGTTCACACCAGTGAAAAAGTGCTAATGTCTTGACACCAGAGACTTGCGGTAGTCCGAGTTTTCCACTTGCATTTGTGAAGGCATGACTTTAGTGTCATAATGGATAATTGGTGGACTCATCAGCAAGAACTAGGTGCGGGCACTGGGTCACTATTTGAAAATTGAAAGCTGCAAAGCAAATGACAGGGCCGAAATTGAAATTGATTGTTGACATTGCATGTGCATAGACAAGTTGGAAATGGCGGTCAGCTCCTGATGTTGGCGCTCAGCCGGCTCTTTTCCTATTGAGGAGAAAGGTGTAGGTTGACATTCTAGACAAGGGGTCTTGGCCACGATGGACTCGTTCCGTAGCTTCTGGGGCAGCCCGGGTCGTGCGCCTCCTCCAGGAGAAGTGGGAAGCCCTCCTACTGCAAGGCTGAGAGAGGCGTCCGATGACGAGCTGAGTGATGCGGATGAGAGCAGAAGCAGGTCCGTGGGCCCCATTTCAATAAGGGCGCCTCCAACAGAAGGCGGAGTCGGTTTGACCGTTGGCTCTCCAAGCAGCACAATTGGCTCAGACAGGAGCTTTGAGGATGCCTTAGAGCGCGAGGCGAACAGCTCCCAGGTCAGCTATGGAAGCGCAGGCCCATTGACACCAGTAGGCTCGTACACTGCGCCGTCGCTTGGCGCGTCGGAGACGGGGTTCTCCAGCAGCCAGTATGGGTTCCTGGTTGAGGGGGCCATGCACAGGCTCAATCAGCTTGCAGACAAGGCCGAGGGGGACACAAGCCTCTTGCAGGACTGTGATGAGGATGAGTTCCAGCAACGCATTGCAAAAATTGCTGAGGAGAACGGAGTCACTGTAGATTCGCCCAGCATCAGCAGTCTTGTGGAGACCCTGTTGCCTGTCGTTCAGGAGATCAGCAGGCAAACCACTCCCGCCACAACTCCTGGGCATGCCGCACCAGCAGCCCCGTCTGCAGAGGGTGCAACAAGTGCTGCTCCGGAGCCGAACCTGGATTCCCCTCTGTTCCGTCTGAGCGTGCGCAATGCTGAGCAAGAGAAGGACTCGGCGAATGTTGCGATGGCTCCAAGTGCGGCGGGATTGCGGGTCGTTACCGAGGATTTGAAACCTGTGGTTTTGTCAGCATCCTCTGTCAAGGAGGTGACTATTCCGGGAGCTGAGGTGACCATCCCCCCACGGGCAGTGGTCAGCGAAGTGGAGGTGCCGCCTGAAGAAGAGGTTGCGGAGGTGCAGCCTGAGGAAGAGGTTGCGGAGGTACAGCCTGAAGAAGAGGTTGCGGAGGTGCAGCCTGAAGAAGAGGTTGCGGAGTTGCAGCCTGAAGAAGAGGTTGCGGAGTTGCAGCCTGAAGAAGAGGTTGCGGAGGTGCATCCTGAAGAAGAGGTTGCAGAGGTGCAGCCTGAAGAAGAGGACTCCGGTGACTATGTTGAGGTTGAAAACGAGGAGCTGCAGGCCGATGCACAGGCGGGTAATGAAAGCAAGGCGCCACAGGCCCAGGAGAAGCAAGAAGATGTCGATGAGGCTGAGGTGAAGAGCTCTGCGGAAGGGCACTCTTTTACTGCAAAGGAGACTCAGGAGAGCGTGCCTGAAGAAGAGGACATCAAGGTGGCGGTGGTCGAGGCTCCTGCTCCGGCCGCCCTGGAAGAGGAGTCGGCGCAGGTCCAGGCGCCGATTGCTAGGGTAGAGGAAGAGGAGGTCGAGAAGAGGATTCTGCAGGAGCAGCAGCAGCAAGCGTCAGAGGCTTCGGCCCAGCCACCGAGGGCGCCGGTTTCTGCACAGGAAGAGGGGCCAGAGGAGGAGGAGTTCCACGAGGGAGAAGAGGGGGAAGAGGGGGAATATGAGGAGTACGAGGAAGGTGAGTAATGAGGAAGTCAGTGCATTGTTGATCGATATTACGGTACTGGTAATGGTCGAAGCTGTCCAATGCGGCGGGTGCCAGCATTGCATTCTGTCTGCATTGTTTGCATTCGTTGATGTTTTGGTTGCATGTGGGTGTATATGCATACCGATTTTTTTCTTGAACATAGCATTGCCTTTTGATCTGCTCAGAAACGGTGGCAGCATTGTTCCCCTTGGAAGCGAATGCATGATCGTGCTTCTCTTTGTTCTGCATGCATTGGGGTTGATTGCTTGAATGCAGTGTAAGTTGCTGCAAAAATCAAGGTTGCATCATTGTTTCATGTGGATCCCTACGAAACTAGGGGGGTGTGTGGACCCCTACGAAACTAGGGCGGTTCACCTGCTTCTCTTCTCTGTTTAAAAACAGTGCGCTTCTGAGAGCTTTGCATGGGGCGAGTTGGCGCCGTTCTGAGGCAGTGCATTTGGCCTCTTTCTGCATGTGACAAAATGCAAGGATTGGAAGCCACAGATTGGTAGTTGAGCCCCGAAACGAGCTTACCTGCCCCATTCGATGCATGTTCTGTAGTTGTCAAAAAAAGGTTACTACATTACATGTTATTGGCTCTTGAAAAGATGTTCCACCCTCGAATTGTTAGCCGGAGACTGACATCGCATCCCTGGTGCGTGCTTGTAGGCAGATTGCAGTGTTGAGTAAACACGATGGTTGTCAAGTTTCATTTGCTGAGGGCTTTAGGCCTGAGCGCAGCTGTGTACTTCCAAGCCATCTCAATGTTTGAATTAATGTACCCAAGCTTACTCTTCTTCTTGTTTGTGATCATGCTCCGCTTTCCTAGCAATTTTCTTTCATCCTTCACACTGTACTCACAAGCAACAATGTATGCTAAGTTTTCTCGTACTTTGTCTCTCTTTAGTCGAAGCATCGCAATTTAAGGATTGCACACAACCTTTCTCCTTAACGTACGCTCCATTCGTGTTACTGCAGCGAGTCGTTTCCAGCTAGCAACTTCAGAAGTGCAACTTCGGTATCTCGATAGCAGTCTTTTCTCTTTCTCATCTTCCATATTTCAAGTGCACTTCATGCAACTTATCAAAACACACCCACCTTTTTCTGCAGATGGCGAAGAGTATGAAGAAGCCGCGGAAGACGAAGACATCGACGGCGCCTTTGAGGAGCTGGCCGCCTCAGGCCAGCTCTCCCCCGAGATCCTGCGCGCAATTCAGCAGGCGCAGCAGCAGGCCGCCGCTGCGGCCCAGGCTTCCCAGTCCAATCAGAGCCAGGCGCCGGCAGGGTTAGGTTCCAGGGCCGCCGGTTTGGGGTCTGGCGCAGGGTTAGGGCCGCGAGCAGGCATGGGAGGGGGTGGATCAGGCTCAGGACCGGCAGGGTTAGGGTCTAATGCGGCGGGGTTAAGGTCTGGGTCGGGGTCTGGTGCCGGGGCTGGGTCTGGGTCAGGCTCTGGTGCCGCAGGGTTAGGGTCCGGAGCTGGGTTAGGGCCGGCACTGCCACCGCGGCCGGCTGCGGGGGCGGCGCGCCCTGCGCAGCCAAGAGGAGCGGAGGCGGTTCCGGCGCCGGAAGAAGAGGAGGTGAGGGTTCTAGTTCAAGTTTCAAGGATTGTTCAATTTCGACCGATTGACTGACAGTATCGGTGACCTGCAAGGAGGTTTTGTTTTGCTTACATGTGATTGGCAGTGATTTGTCGGGTAGAGATTGGTTGAGAGCACCTAGGTCAAGTCCAAGAATGTTGGGAAGAGGTGGGAGCGGGCATTTTGAGGCTTTGTTGTATTGCTGTTCCAATATATTTTCTGGGAGCAGCGTTGTCGTTCGATCTTAGATGTTCGACCTGGATGTTTAGACCACTGCCGTGTCATGTGTACCAACGCTGACTCAAATGACGAGAAGCATCGTTGGTACAGTCTGTTCCATCCAAGTTCCTAAGGTTCCTTCTCCTCTAAGTTCTAAGTTCCATAAGTTCTCTAAGGTTCCTTCTGCTGTGCCTTGAGCAGGACTTGAGTGAGGAGCAAAAGGACATCAAGGCAAAAGCGCGGGCCCTAAGGCTGAAGCTGCTCAGGCTGGCGCTCAGAGTGGGGCACACGCACCGCACTGGGATTGTTGCACAGGTAAGCGGTTCTCGGTTTGCAGCTCAGTAACCAGGATTTAGGGCTCCTAGCCTATGCAAGGCAAGGCGTATCAAAGCAAGATACTTCCGTGAGAAGTTGGTCCATCCTACCCCCCATTGCTTTGGAGTCCACAAACGTGCCATTTGCTCCGTCGTCTTTCTGCATATACATTAAGCGCAACTGATGTTCGTTGCTCGAAAGTTTGTCAAACTTTTGCTGGTCGAGCGAGAGAAGTCCTTTGGAGAGTGGAGGTTGTGATGGACCCTTTCGTTTCAACAGTCTGCATCTAGATTCCCTTTATCAGGTTGAGTTCCACGTTTTAAAGCAGATATTACTCAATTCTGTGCAGGTCTTGTACCGGATCGAGCTGGCCGAGCAGCGGCAGCTAGGACGTGGAATGCTCAACCGTACCGGCATGAACTTTGACAGGATTGCTACGGTGGCGCAAGAGCAGGTTCGTTACTCGTTTTCCACCCCTGTTTTCGTTTTGCTCGGATTCTTTCTTTCATCTCTCTTTTGAGACTTATTTGTTGAGAGTCGACCGGATATCAGAGCGGATTGTTGATGACCGGGTGTCTGGTTGCTCATGCGACCCTTCACTCGTTTTAGCAGGTGCCTCACATCCGCCTTGTGTGCGCCTCTGTATGGATGTTCGTATACTTGAGGGCATGCAGATCGTTGGTGTTCATGTCAACTCCCACAGCGAATACAAGGGAAGTTTCGGCTTTCTTCAGAAAGCAGACTTGCGCGGAATATTCTTAAGCTCTTTGGCATGCAAACGCCCGCTTGGTCAAGGTCTGCCAAGCAAGGCGCTTGCCCCTAGAAACCCCGAAATTCTTCCCTTTGAAATCAGAGTGGGTCACGCAAAGTCATGAGAAGTTCATCAACGGCCCCCTCCCTCACCCGCAGGAAGCAAAGGAGGGCTCCGATACCCCCCTGGACCTGCACATCAAGCTGCTCTTCCTTGGGAAGACGGGCGTCGGAAAGAGCGCCACGATCAACAACATCTTCCAGCAGCCGCTCCAGTCGGCCAACGCCTTCGAGTCCGAGACCAAGGACATCCGGATCCTGGACGTCAACATGCTTGGCGTCAAGGTTACGATCATAGACACGCCGGGGCTCGGCTTAGGAGACGGGTGAGACGTTCAAACGGGTTCAAAGTTTGAATCAAGCTTGGATGGTCATTCTGGCGTGTCGGATGTGAAGATGGAGCACCTTATGTAGCCTTATGTAGCCTTATGTAGCTATGGCTCGGTCAAGGTTACCATCATTGTCGCGTTTTGACCAGCTTAGGGAGGAATAGGAAGGAGAGGGATCACGTTTGTACCACTGCAAAAGCTGTCAGGTCCTTCAGCGCTATGGAGGTCAGCCTGGGGAGCTGAATGAGTTCGAGCGCATTTGTCTTTTGCGGTCTCTCGTTCTGGGTCACCCACTAGCGTCGCCGCTTTGGTCACAGTGCGGAGGAGGCCATGAGAAGATGGGCAAGATTGAGGGCATCTGCAGTCGATGCCTTATCAGTTCACGCTCGGCTTGCATTTAATGCTTCGTTTTGAATGCCTCTTTGCTCCCCGCGCTGGGCTAACATCAGGGTCGCCTCTGGTCACAGTGCGGAGGAGGCCAACGAGAAGAAGATGATTGATATCAGACGCTAACTCTTTCGGATCACTTTCGATCCTTTTTGTTTCAAGCTTATTCTGCATCAATTTCACTGTCTTCACCATCTTGTATTTCTGAGCTGGGTTTACACTAACGGCGCTTGTTTGGTCACAGTGCGGAGGAGGCCAACGAGAAGATGAATAATATCAGACGCTATCTCTTTCGGATCACTTTCGATCCTTTTTGTTTCAGCCATATTCTGCATCAATTTCACTGTCTTCACCATTCCGTATTTCTGAGCTGGGTTAACACTAACGGCGCTTGTTTGGTCACAGTGCGGAGGAGGCCAACGAGAAGAAGATGGACAAGATCGAGCGCATCTGCGAGAAGATGAAGCCCGACGTGGTGTTCTACGTGGACCGCCTCGACAACCAGGGCCGCGAGTTCCAGGACATTAGCGTCATCAACTCAATCACCAAGGCGCTCGGCGAGGAGATCTGGTTCAACGCAATCGTGGTGTTCACGCATGCGGCTGTCGCGCCGCCCGACGGCAGGTACGGACACGGGCTTCGTATGTCTCCGACCAAGTAGTATGTGCCTCTTGCTTATCGGCTTTTTACGTTTTCTGTGATTATTTGCTAAGGTTTGAGCGAGCCTCGTCATCCGTAGATGCGTTTGGGAGGGGCTATCGAAGCTGGTACACGGGTCAGCTTTTCAAGCGTACAATACTCTGACGGCTGCACGCAGTCGATATTTTGTGGGAAGCTGCGGCGACGGGCAGGCCAATACTTGTGACACGTGTCGTCGCATTCCGTGCATGGGTCTTTCAAAGATGCCACTAATAACCCCATCTTGGTGATAACGAACCACCTACTCCACGTGCATAGCTTATGATATTTCTCCAAACGCTCGTTTGCCTGCTACAACAGGCAGCCAAAACCACGATCACATTTTACGTGGTCCAGTCCAGCATTCAAGTCAGGTTCACGATTGTCACAGCACCTAGATATGAGGCCCCCGTCACATAGCTTATGCTTCTTTCTCATCCCTTATCGTCTTGCAGCAACGGGCAGCCCATCACCTACGACACGTACACCTCGCAGCGCGCGCACGGCGTCCAGTCTAGCATCCGCACCGCCGTCGACGACGAGCGCCTCATGAACCCCGTGTGCCTGGTTGAGAACCACCCCAACTGCCGGACCAACCGGGCCGGCGACAAAATCCTGCCAAACGGAGTGGTGAGGGCTGAGTAATCTAGGCCAAGTGTTGTCCTCTCTGGCGGCAATCGTTCTCTGTTCTGGCTGCACTCGGCCGGGCTGTCTGTTCATCGTTGCGCCTACTGTTTTCCAGATTTTGTTGAAGATCTTGAACCCTGCTGCTCCGACCAGGTTATCCCCTTTTCAGACGTTTCATTTGCTGACTGCTGGTGTCAAGGGACAAAACGCGCTGTTCTCAGGTCTGTCCAGCTTGGAGCGAGTATCTCCGCAACTCGTTGACTGACCCAAGTCGAGGCTTCATTGCCTCCTTCACCGCAAAAGTTTGATCATGTTGTGATCTTGCTGAAGGAATGTTGGTTTGACGTGCAGGTGTGGCGGCCCCAGCTGTTGCTCTTGGCGTTTGCGTCCAAGATCCTGAACCAGGCCAACGAGGTTATGAAGCTTCAAGACGTGAGCCTCACATTCCCCCCGGCTTTTTAAAATCTTCTAAAGGCTTCCACTTCCCCAATTTGAGGTAACGAGCTGAACCTATTGCTGGTGCTTGGACGTTGTTTGGAAGTTGGACTTAGCATCTTTGGGCATTCTCAGCTAAACTTGAGTTCCTCACGACGGATGTAAGCCCTGTTCTAGTGCTTCCATCTAGTTGACCAGGGCGGCAGCAACGATTCGATACAACTTCTTACTCGCTATCAACGAGCCTGCTTGTGTGAGAGGGGAAGCAAGAAGAACGCCTTTGTAGGAATCGCAAAAGAAGGTTCAAAGATGACTTTCCTCTTTCTATACTGGAGGAGCAACAGCGTGCAGCAGCAGAGAAGAATGACAGAAGCGGCTATAGTGGTCCGGCGGTCCTGTGTGGAAGGGCCCTCGCTCGACGACTTGATCAAATCAGGGAAATTGGCACCACTGCTTTGGGGGACGGGTACCTCTGGTCCAGCCGCCCTGTTTGTTGATCAGCAATCCACCGGGTTTTCACCACCAACTTTTTTTGCACAGGAGGATCGGCAGGCGCAGCAGGAAAACGAGAAGTATGGCAACCTGATGTCATTGCTAATTGCACTCATGGTGGAAGCTGTTTTGGTTGTGCTTCAAAATGGGTGGAACCATTTTACTGATCTTTACCCCCCCTTTTCGCAGGAGGCTCGGCAGGCGCAGCAGGAGGACGAGAAGTATGGCAACATGATGCCGCTGCTGACGGGGCTTATGGCGGAGGCGCGGGAGCTCAAGACGCCCAAGGTGTGGGTGTCGCAGGCGGAAAAGGAGGCCCAGGCGCAGCACGAGGCGCTGCGCAAGCGCATCATCGACCTGGAGAGGGAGGTGTACCAGCTCGAAACGTCGCTCGCCAAGGTAAGTCCTCGGGACTCCGTTTTCGCCTTGGAGGAATTTGTTGGGGGACAAAAAGGCGCGAAATGTGAAGATGGTGTGGCAAAGTGAAGAGAAGCTCCGGCAAAGTGTGATGCGCTGCATAAGGGCACCATCAACCTCGAGCGGCTCGCCCAAGTAAGTGCTATGTTCGGAGCAGTTCGAATGTTCGCCCGTTTCAAGCAATCAGCAGGTAAGCTGAGAATTTGAAGACGAGAAAGCTCAGGACGAGAGTTGAAGGATGTTAAGAAGGTCAAGTGAACACGAGGGGCTGCACAGGTGCATCATCAACCTGGAGTGGGAGTGTTGGGTTGCCTTTGAAATAAGGAAAGGAGATTCTATGCTCTTCTCAAAGCGCTCTTACTCCTTGTCGAATATCTTGTTAGGTCAGATCTGATTCGCTATCTTACCTTCCCTGCAACAGGAGAAAGAGAACGATGACGTCCTCGACTTCGAGAACAAGCTCGCGCCCGTTATGGCCCAGCGTGCCCAAAAGGAGAGCTACCTCATCAGCCTCAAGACCACCCTCGACCTAGAGAAAACGCGCCTCGACAAGAACCCCTTCGGAGAGGCGGCCATGAAGCGGATCCGGGCGGAAGCGGAAGAGGAACGGCGGATAATGGCGGAACGGAGGCGCAAGGTCAAGTACGCGTCTCGAGGGGGCGGCGGCCGGCGGAGTCAGCGGAAGCTGGGGGGCGGAATGGGGCGCGGGAACGTGTTCTGGGACGAGGACGAGGGCATTGTGTGAGTGCCACGTGTCCTTCGCTCGCTTGTATGAGCACGTGCTTTGACCAGGAGCGAGCAGTACGGAAGAGAGTCTATGTGCGGTCTGCTTTCGCATGTGCCTTGGATCTTCTCGAAGTCTGCTGTTGGTCTTTTCTGAGAATCGTTTTGCTTTTTGTAGGTTCTCCCCGTCTAGGGTCCAGGGATAACTGCATGTGAACCATCAAATACCAACCTGACTTTGTTGCCAACCTGGTTCTTCTCTTTTCAAGCCATGCCGGGTTGCTCTACTTTGACGGCTTTCTCATCCGAGCACGTTTGGAGTCGGTTCTAACCTTTTCCTTAGAGAACCGGTCACTCCTAAGCGCAGATTGCTTTCTTGAATACACTTCGGACACCTTGCTCCCAGATTCCAACTGTAAACCCGAGCTTAGGTTCCAGGCAAAAGACGTTCGAGGCCGACTCCAGGCTAACTTCGCCATGGTCGAATCCATGTTAACCCCCGTCAATTATGATCAACCCCGTGTTGTGTTTTCAAACAAGACGCGTTCGAGGCCGTCTTTGTGACCACCTTCATTACCTGGTCACTTTTGCCACCTAGACCAGATTACTCGTACGGTTGAATAGTCTTTCACGACAACTCCCACAAACTGACCCGAGGATGCTACTCATTATCTGACACTTGTGTCCAGGCAAGACGCTTGCAGGCCTGACTCCGAGGCTTAGCTGCTCATGCGGGCACACCGCTGTTCACGAGAGCAATTTCTACAAACCAACCCGAAGCCTCTGCGCCTATACCCGCTCTTTTGCAGGCAAGACTCATTCGAGCCCGAGCTCGACACTAACGTCGGGATCTCGGGGGAGGACCAGAGGCAAAATATTCTTCACAGATCTATTTCTTGACAGGAAATCCAGAATTTCAACGTCCTAAATCCCAATTTCGTGTACAGGCAAGACGCATTCGAGCCCGGGCCCGAGACCAACTTCGGCATCTGGGGGGAGGACCAGAGCAAACTATCATTTAGAATCCGTTTCTTGACGGGAAAGTCAGTATCCTAATGTCCTAGATACATATCTTGTGCAGGCACAGCGCGTTCGAGCCTGAGCCCGAGACCAACTTGAGTATCTGGGGGAAGTATCAGAGCAAGGAATTTATTAGCACGTAACAAGATAGTTTTCAATGGTTAACCCGTCTTTCGTCTACAGGCAAGACGCGTTCGAGCCCGAGGCCGACACCAACTTCGGCATCTGGGGGGAGGACCAGAGTGCGCCATATGACCGGGCGGGTCTCGAACCGGGCCCCCTGGAGTGGGGCTTCCAGGAAATACCGCCCCTTTTGGATGACCGCCTGTTGGTCGAGCTGGGGGGAAAGATCCAAAAGGAGCCCAAGCTGCTGCACGCCAACGCGGAGATCAAGTACACATACCACGTGTCCCCTGTTGTGGTGAGTGTTCACACGGTGGTGTGTAGGGGGTCAGTTTCCTTGTGGAGCTAGTAATGGAGTGGATTTATGCAGGAGTTTTCTTGGTTTGCTTCGGTTCGAGATGTACTAGGCAACGAGGGACTGTGCATCTGGTTTTAGCGAGCGATGAGGTTGGCGCGTCTTGAGAGAACCACTCTCTTCATGGAAGAGCTTAATGCTGACGTTTTCCCGCATCAGCGGACGACGTCTCGCTGTTTCTTTGACTGCGGAGTTGATCAGTTTTGCACCAACAGCGATTCGTCCAAGTCCCGACTTCCTGGCACCGGGTCATCTTTTTACGACGAGGATTTTGACCTGCTAAAGGAGTAGCAGTGCAGCCACTACGGGGTCTTTGAAGTACTGCCCAACAGTGCACCTGGTGCTTGGGTGATAAATGCTGACGTTTCCTCAAATCTTGCTGCAGAACTTCCGAGGTGACGTCGACATCGATTGGCTCAACCAGGAGGGCGCCACTTTCACCTTCACCGCTGACACGTCCAAGACCGACATGGATAAGCCTCCGGTTGCGGGCGTTGCCGTGTTCATGGTGAGTCGCGTGATCTGTTTGTCACTCTACATATCGTCTGTATCCCTGACATTTGTGGGTTTAGATCGTTCTTCAGAAGCCGACTTTGCAAACCTCCTCCGACCAGACTTCTCGGGAAAAGTGGCGACACGCATGCACCTCGGGCTGTCAAAAGAGCTTCGCCCGAGCCGAGATCTAGTATTGCATCTCGCCTCTCTATTGTGCACGCCCGTCCGATAAGTTCTCGAACATTGCAGCCTGTAAGGAAGGTGCTCTGGGTATGCGAATTGGAAGCGGGCAGGAGGGAGCCGCATATCAAGGCCGCTTTTTACAATGATGTAACTGGCTCCCAGTTGCGGTTAATCGGGATGCTGTTCTCGGAGCGGCGGGTCTAAACTGACCAAGCTTGCCCGGCTCAACAAGTACCGCATTGACGTTTCTCTCTCTGTCTTTGAAACGCATGTCAACTGGTTTTATTCGCTTTTGGAATGCGACCCAACGGTTGTCAACAGTTCTGATTTGCGCCACTCGGATCCTTACACAGTATTCAAACATTGTCATCTCAATTGTTGCAGGCTAAGAAAAAGGGCGCGGCGGGTCTGAAGCTCGCCAAGATCTTCACGCTGCGGAAGCTGCGCAACAAGGACGCGCCGTCGGCCCAGCGGGAGCTGCGGCTGAGCACCGTGGCGGGCATCGTGCGCAGCTTCGAGGGCGAGGTCGCCCGCGGCCTCAACGTCGGGATGTCGACCATCGACGTGCGCACCTTTGAGAAAGGGAGGCACAAGGTGCGAGAACTCTGCAAAGCCCATGTTTTGAAGTCTTGAGCCTATTGGTTTCCAGGGTGCCGTCAGTGGCTCTGATTTCAGGATGTATAAGTAGAAGGGGTCTTTTGTGTGAGGCCCTCAACGTCGAGATGTCCGCCATCGACGTGTGCACCTTGTAGAAAAGACGGCACAAGGTACGGGAGCTCTTTTGATCCAAGGATGTCTGGTTCTCAAAGATTCAGACCCAGACATCCTAAGAGATAGAAAGATATTTTGAGGTTCAACATCCTGAGTTTCAGGATTGGTAAAATTCGGTAATCTTAGTCACACTCACTGAATTCAACTTGAGAGTTTACCTTACCTCCAGCGCTTATCAAGTGGTTGTTTAAGCTTTTCGACCGTTAAACAAAACTGTGAATTGGAGTCTGGTCGTTTCTGTGGGATGCGGGGGTTTTCTGATGATTCTTCAATTCTCGATACCTTATGCTCCAACCATTCAAGGGGTTTTCTGTCGATAGGCTTCTTGTCGATTCTGTCCGGCCGTTCATTCGCTGATGCTGATTCTCGTCATCCTTTGTTCGCAGATCTCGTTCAACGCGTCCGACTTCCGTGGCGACTTCGGCTTCGGCGTCGCGGCTGAGAGCGAGGGGTACAACGTCGCTGGCATCATGTTGGGCGTTAACGCAACCATGGATAGCAGCGGCCAAGGAAAGATTGCGCTGGCGTTCCACAGCGAGAAGAAAATCTGGCCTGCCGCGATCATGCTTATCACGGGACTGAAGGTGCTGTTGCAGCGGTGGGCTCAACCGGGGCCGATGGAGATGGGCGAATTTTAGGGGGTCGGATTTGGAGCGACGGGTATCATTCGGGAGAATTATCTCGTGCTGTAGTGGTCTTTGCGGATGGGAGGAGGGCGTAGAAAGAGGCTACGAGGACGGATAAGTGACCGCATATTCTGGGTTAGGATCGGCTGTTTCATGGGAGTTGCGATCATTGGAGAAGGTGACTTCGGGTAACGTTCCTAAAGCGGCGAACAAGTAGGGCTCCTGAACTCACCATGGCATAGTTGAGGACAGATCGTCGACGCCCATTTTGTGGTCGGCTGATTTTGCATTTGTGATGTGAGTCGTCGGTCGAAGCTTATGATCCCAGGTCAACAGACACGTACACTCATTCGTTATGAACATAATGCACTTCTTCGTTGACACCATGTTCGTTGGAAATGAGCGCGGGCGGCCGCAGGATGGAGAGGTTGTGAAAAGCATGAACGGACGTGATAAGCCCAACTTGCAAGCTGCAACAGTGCCGCCCCAGATAAGCAAGCAGCGCTGGTGCGCAGGTCTGGTTTCAAACACGATCACAAGCTGGCACGCGCGCATCAATAGTATGAAAGGCGCGATGTCCGATCCCCGTGAACATGACTAATTAATTGCAATTTGCATTTATTTTGAAAACATATTTACATTTTTTCAATATTACACACATGATATAACTGTGCAATTGTTGTGTAATCGATCTGCTCATTAGGGTCGGATATATGGTAAAGTATATGGGTGGTGCATTGCAAAATGAATATCTTGACGCCGTCATGCATATGCTCGTTTCTTTGATTTTAATGCATGCTTCCCCCAAACGCGAGATGTTGCCAGGCCCTGCACTTCGGCTGTCCGATAAACATGCCACCCGCGTCCGCACTTCAATTTATAAGAACAACTCATTTGTTCATGCGCATTTGATTGCTAGAGTTGGCTATATTATTTGCACGCCGGGGCTTCCACATGCCCGGCCAGGATAGTGGTTGACAGTCCCCCGGCAATTGCAAGAGAAGCAGGCAGATTTGGTGAATAGTAAACCTAGGCAGCCATGCCAATTGGTCGTACATGTGCACAGAACTTGAGCGTGGGATGTGAAAATTGGATTTTGAGCAGATTGCCAATCAATAATCGAATCACCAATAGTTATAGTGTTAATTACCTGTAGAATGTCAACTATGCGGTAGACGGTGCATGCATAACAATTTTAACATGTTGACGTTTCTGTATTAAAGTGTGTACTATTCGGCCATGCCCTTCACACAACCGTCATTTGCATATTCATTTTTCACATACTGGTGGAAACAGTCGAGATGTTTGCGCGGGTGTGTGTGATGATGTACAGATAACATTCACCTTCAACCCAAGCTTGCAGTAAGCCGATTTTCTCAGCTTTCCCCTTCCAATCAAAATCACAGGTTGCCAGTCTCTTTACAATGTCGTTTGTTCAGTAATGTACACTGGGAAAAATGGTTCTCTCAACACTGGTAAGGTACAAACGACCGGAGTATGCTAACAACGTTGCAGCTTGCAGCGTCTTTCTACACACACACAAAGTCAAATCCGTGGTCGTTCAATCTACTCCCAACTCGAATCAGTGATCGAAACATCTACTTGTCCTTTCCAGTCACCTTGTCCTTCAGGTTCTCAGCAGCGTCCTGCAATGAAGAAATTTGACTAATTTAGTCAATACGAAAATAGTGTCGCTGCTTCGAAACAGGGGGACGGGAAACAATTTTCACGAGAATATTCGTACTTTTCTCTGAATACGTCAATCTACTTCTGTCGAAGTGCCATCTTGCATTGCCCAGATACCTAAGCATCAACCCTCCGCTTTCGATCATGCTGATATCTCCAGTTTATACATGAAAGACGAACACTCTGAAAGAAGGAATGTGGTGCATATTTGTGCAAGCGGCTATTGAATGCCGCACAAAAGCTGGCAACAAAATCCCGAAAACATGTAACTGCGGGTGACAACTTACCGCAATACCCTGGCCAGCCTTCTGCACCTTGGCGCTGGCATCCTGAGCAGCCTTGTTCATCTGTCCACCGACCTCAGTGACGACATTTCTCCTGGCATTGAACATCTGCATTACCAAAAACGAACAGAGTGAGCACATAAGTCGTTGATACAATCCGGAACCTATGACTGGACGACATGCTCATACTGAGCTGGCGGTGAAGAAAGGGTTTGGCCACTAAATGAGTTGGAGAGCAGAACTTTGCCTCCAACCACCAGACTCCTTAAGATCTCTTCAGAGAAACGAGCTGGAATTGAATTGAGGTGGAAATTCTCGAATTGCACTGCTTGCGAAGAACGTGAAACAGCATTCCCTATTCATGGGGAAACTGTCGCGGCTCAGTGATGAAGCGGGAAAGGGATGAAGGCCTGTCTCTATTTTACACGTCCTGATCATCCGTCGTGACTGGTTTTCACTTGTCAGAAACAGGTTTGAGAACATCAAGGGTTTCTTCATGAGTTTGAACCTTCCTCTGATGCTTCAACGGTTTTGTGAGGCAATTTATGGAGGCAATTGAAACCACTCCTACATTGAGCACTACTTTGAGCACAGTTCATCAGCTCTCAAAGCAACACATGACCTACTCAAAGACCCCAATACTGGGATGACAATTTGCCATGCTGACGGAGAAAGTTTTTGTACAAGGCAAAGCGGTGTGCGTCCGCCGGAAAAATCGTGTGTCCAGAAAGGACAGCGCAAATCTCAGGAGCTGTACCTGCGCTCCCCTGGACTCGCCCTCCTCCTCCTCAGGGTGGTTCTGCCTGCCCGTGAAGTTGTTGCCTGAGGGCTCATTCTCTGCCATGTGCTTGGGGGCCTTCTTCAGAGAGAAGTCCTCCACACTCTGGTTGAACTTCTCTGCCTGCTTCTTGATGAAGCCGGCCTTGGCCTGCAGGACGAAGTCAGAATAGTCAATTGCTTGGAATCATGTTGCAATGACGAATGGACCTGCAATCCATGAAGATTATAGACTCTCGAGAGCCTATCTCTGCCGGTTGGGGCAATGAAAGATGTGCTTCTCTGCAGTGGACTTATCATTTCGCAAGCGAAGAGTCAACTCAACTGCCCTTTCACCCAATTTCCTATCTCATGCCCCTAACATCCAAATTGCTGCTTCCTTTCGTTCCATCAGCGGAGGGCATTGCACCGTGTAGCAAACACCTCCTTGCTGCATGCATTAGAAGTGGCTGCCACAACAACACCGGGCAAAGCCATTTCTTATGTGTGATAAGCTCCACAGGCTCCTAACTAGTCACTATTTCGAGCAGCTCAAACTCAATTTCCACCAATGCAAGAGCTTACTCACCAGCTGATAACACAAATGCAGGAGAAGCAATCAACCAATTCATTTGCAACTCTTCCACTCAGGAATTGAAACTTCCGCCCTTTTGGACCGGATTGATTGCAGCTTTCACCAGAAAGTATGGGGCACCAAGATACTCACGTCATCGCGGTTTGCCCTGATCACTGTGCTCCTCCTGACGGGGGCCACAACAGACGTCCTGTTGAAGGCACTCGTGGAGCTGGACACAGCAGCCACAGAGGACAGGCTCGTGGCGGCCAATTGCGTGGCGATCATTGAGGAAGCCATTGCAATTCAAGCGTCTGTTTGATGAGCCGCGAAATGCGTTGATTACAGTGTGCAGCAGTTACAGCGCAATGAAAGTTCTGTGCGTTTGCGAATGCTTTCTGAATGGAAACGCTCTGCTCGGATAAGGTTCTCTTTTCCTAGAAGACGAGGTGCTGGAACCAGAGCTGCAAAACAGTCCCACAGACTTCCAGCTGCCGGCGCCCTGTTTGCGGGGGATCTTTTCCCTCCCTTGTGGTCCTGGCGGCCTCCATCTGTAGCAGCTGAGGTGGCGCTTCGCGATCTGGCGCCCTCCTGTTGGCCGCGAACCGCTCTGTCTTGCGCCTCCGCAACAAGTGGCAGAAACCAATTGCGCCTTCTCTGCATGCATGACATGCAGACAGTTATAGCCCGACAGCTTGTCTAATACGTTATACGACTGAGAAATAAGCTATAAAAGGTGCAGCATCGGACGCTCTGCGTTTGTTGAGATCCCTATCGACGGTTCTAAGCGAAGATAGTATCTCAGCTGCCCAAAGATTGTCAAATCATTGTCCGACTATACGGCCCGGTCGGGGCCCTTGCGAAGGGCCCAAGCCTCAAGGCCCCTACTAGCCCCTAGCACTGAAAACTTAGAAGGGCCCCGGGCCCCCGGCCCCCCAGGCCCGACCACCGGGCCTCCGCCGGGCCCGGGTGACAGAAATCAAGGCTCGAGCAGATCCAGTCGAAATCCTTGGGCCAGAGTCATTGCAGTGACCTCCTGAGCTGGCTGAGGCTTCTGTGCATCTTGCAGATGTAGTCTCATACCTTGTTCAAGCGCGAAAGGCAGCATGCAAGCAGCTTGCACGTGTCCTTCTCCAAAGGCTTTCTCAGGACAGCTATTGTGTTACCTTTCAAAAACCTTTAATTGGATGTCTAGAGCCAAGTCGAAAGATCAAATTAGTGACTTTTGAAAAGGTACATATATCATGGTGCTTTTTTCGGACAAAATGGATTAGACATGAGGACATTGCCAACCTACCAATCGCAATGACCATGAGCCCTATAAGTGAATGTTCAGAGGGCGTACTTCAGGCTCGGTTAATACTAAATCAATTGGGCGTCAGAGTCTGCTTGTCGACCATGTGACCGACTATGTCGGACACACTCAGGCTTTGAAACGAACATGCGCAATTCACATTGTGCAATTATGCCTGAACATAGACAACACCAACTTTCTCAAACATGGTTGCACATTCCAGAAGCTGTCCGTCACGTTACAGCCCTGAGAGCTCTCTCTCGCATCTGTATGCAAAAGGGTCAATTGCTTGCAACCATCCATGACCAATGGTTGACAAGATTTAGGAGCTTCCATTGTCAGAAGATGCACTTCATGTTGTTCTGGCAACTCTTTTAAGAAGTGGGCGTCTCAAAGACCGTGATTAGTAGCATTAAGTATGTTTCCGTTGCTGAACTTCGTTGAGACAATGTAGCAGCAATAGAGGAAGGCCATGCTCGCAGCTGATGTTCAAGCAATCGTTTGAGTACCAATGCTCGTACATTTTCTGGACCTCAATGCTTGTCCTTGCCGTTGCCATCCTTCTTCTCTTTATCCTTCTCGTCTTTCTTAGCCCCTTCTTGGGCACCTCCTAAACCCGCCAGAACCTCACGAACTGCGGCGTCATTTGGGTCCACGCCGGGCAGACCGGCCAGCACCGAGTTTATGAAATCTGCATCCGCTAAAGCTTCCGCGCCAGGCTGTTGACTGCCCGCCTCTTGTGCAACCGACATTTGCAAGGCTGCAAGACGAAACGTTGTCAAGAGATGAGAATCAGAATTTGAAAGTGAAGCCAACAATGTTGCACGACTGTACGCCTCTTTGCGCCATCAACGACCCCCGCAAGTACTACAACCCTCTCATGGAACCCATTACGCGATCAGGACATATGTGTGAGACTCTTGACAACTCATACAACCTCAAGTACCCGTAAGCGATATCCCAGAGTCCACGCCACCCTTTAATGTTGAGGTCTGCCGCAAGTCCACAACATCCTCCATACGAGTTTTGGATTTCAGAATTACTGAACCCCAAGCCGGATACCTCAACACGAGAGAGCTTAGTATGATATCTAGAAGTCCAACGCTGTCGTGCCTGGTTGTGAAATCCCCCCCTGACTCTCAGAGGCATCCTACCTCGCTCCAGACAATACTATTCACAAAATAAGACTAACCTACCTAACAAATCAAGACGCTTTTAAACCCGGCTTACCCGCAGCCAGTTCGGCGTCCATGCTTTCTCCGGCGTCCGCCATCGCGGTGTCGCTGCTTCCCCCCGCGTCCGCCATCGACAGCGCCAGCGCCTGCTGCAGCAGCATCTGCTCCTCGTCCATTTGCTCGTCTTCGTCGTCCGCCGGGACGAGCGGCGGGGGCGCGTCACCTTTCGGGGCCGCGGCGTCCTTCCCAGCTTCCGTCATCGCTTCGTCCTTGCCGGCCGCTGCAAAAGTGTGGAGCTTGCGTTCAGATTGGTATGAAACAACGGCGCTGACAGCACAGCTCGAGCGCTCCGTACAAATTCGGCGGAACGAAATCTGAAAGGACGCTGTGATGAGTCAGAGGCTTTAGCGACTTGCGCTCCCAGCTTGACGGTTGTTTTGCGTCGTTCCACTACACACCAAGAATCAACGACGCGGATGCCATTGTATTGTTGGTAAGAGCCTTTTTCCACCTGAAATTCCATCCAAAATAACAGGCTCGTATCCGTGGAAGAGACATGGAAACACCGCTGTACCCGGTTGAGATTTCTCAAGTTACAGAGTTTATACGAACGCTGTAACTTCACCCCATCCCTGGTTCCAATTTCACCAGATCGCACGACTTGCTTTCTCTCTGTCATGGGCCCAAAGACCTGGACTGGTGTATCCACCTTGAAAGACGTACCGGACTGATGCCCTGCTCATCGATAGATTCGTGCCCGACATGAACCGGGGATCATGATTGCAGCATATATCGAAGCAATCCCGAGCATCCTGACAAGACCTCCAGATTCAGCAATCTGCTTCTGCACAACATGACTCCAGCACTTCGGATCAATGACTTTCCAGACAGCTGACAAGACGGAACCTTACCTGCAACCGAAGACTCTCCCTGCTCCGCCGCCCCCTCCCCCTTCTCCGCCGCCTCCTTGGCCGCTCTCTCCTGCCTCGCCCGCTCCTCCTCCATCGACACCCGCAGCGCGAGCGCCAGCTCCGGATCCAGGTTAGGGTCAACCCCGTAGTTAAACCCGTCTCCCCCACCCACTCCGGCAGCGGCGGCGGCCGCCCCAGCCGCCGCGGCAGCCGCGAAACCGCTGCCGCCCTCGCCGTCTCCGGTGAACACGGGCGAGCTGATCAGGACGTCGGAGAGGACGTTAACGCCGGGGGGGACTGTGACCAGGTGGCTGTTGTCGTTGCTGTTCACGGCCCCGAGGAATGCTTCCAGCTTCTCCAACTGCAGGGGGGGGGGAGGGAGGCATGTTTGGGAATGCCTTCCAGATTCTCACTTTGCCGATCAGAGTCCCAGCATATTTGGATTCTGAAATCTGCTTCGATGATTGAAGGAATTCCTGAACACCGGGATAGGAACAGAAGTGTGTGCGTGGACCGTGTTTTATCTCCCCCTGGAATCTGAAAGCAGGTTGTGCTGAAACCTTTCCATTGAATCCATGATCAGTGTGAACCTACTCTCCACTCGCAAGATGGAAGGACTTTGCTATCGGGCGTGGCAGACGTCAGATTTTTGAAAAGCCACTAACTACATTGTATCCAGAAATAATCAATCTATGCACCTAACATCCAAGACAAGTTGTAGTACTTCAGGAGAGTGTGGTCAACACCAAATCCTCCGATCAGAACCAACCACTAGCGGAGATGAGGCCAGATGATGCACTCTCCTTGAATTGCAGATTCATGCTTGCTGAAACATGTACTACGGTAACTGGTTCGTTCTCACCCTCTGCTGCTGACCAGACTTGTGAGCCTTGGGCTCCGACACGTTCAGAAGCAGATTCAGCCCCACTTTACAGCTCCCTCTCACCTTGCTGGGGTCTTCCTCGCCAAAGTTGACAATGTCCACAGCCACGTTGTTCTTCTTCAGCTTCTTGCCGATCCTCACAAGCGATTCCTTGTCAGCATCGACAGGGCTGCCAGCAAAGAGCACAATCCGCTGGCGCTGGTTCTTGTTCTGGCGGTGCTTTAGTGCAAGCTGTGCAATCTGGACTCCGGAGGGGACATTTGTCACGCCTTCAATCTCTAACCCTGCAAGTATTATCAAAACGTGCTTGAGTAATAAGGACTTGTAAACACGTAGTTTAGCCGCAGTGGCCAAGATCTCTGATGACCTTGACTCAAACGCTTGAAATAGCGAAACTGTTCCACCTAACGCCCCCCAGAATGACACGCTTGGTAGCTGCGGCTCGTGCAATTGCACACTTGTGGCGCAAACAGATGCAACGCAATGACAATCTATTCAGCACAGCCGCCATAGATAAACTTCTTTGAAACGGCAGAGTATTTGTTTGTCACTTGTTGTTTTAAGACAGCTGCTGACTTAGAGAAGACTGGCACAACTATGTGCCAGTTGATTAGGAAGTTCGTATGCAACGGCAGAACCACCCACTGCTCTCACTTCAAATCAGACAGCAGAAGCTTCTCTGATCTGCGTCAGAGGAACTGTAGGAGGAGGCCGGACTCCTCACATAGTCGCAGGCCCTAGGAGTGCTAGAAGATATTTGCACCCCAATTGAGCTCAAACGAGGCTGTCGTGTCAATCATGAAACTCACCGTGCATAGAGGACAGAATCTTCCCGAGGTCGGGGGTTGGCGTCACAACCACCCGGACCCCCTTCCCTGCCATCGTGAGTAATCCAACAGTATTTTCGGGATTTGACTGCACGGCAAGCAGAGACCAGGCGTAAGTCAGCAAAAGACACGCCAGTCCTCAAGGAGGAATACCTGCTTACAAGGACTTTTACGTATTGTCAATCCCAGCAGCATCAGTGGTGGCACCTCAGCATCTCATCCAATGAATGACCAACCGCAAGCTACCATCAGTTAGTCTCTCATCAAAGTACCTGACAAGCTGACAAAGAGAGCGACCAAGAACACAGATGTGTCCCTGCAGCTTTGATTGCAACTGCTTACCTGAGTCTTCGCTCCACAGATAAGGTTCACTGCATCAGCTTGAGCTTGGAATCTTGACGGCGAATAATCCCCATTCCTCATCCATTCAGAATTATCCAAACAGATGACCGTCGCCTGCAGCAAAATCACATGGAAGCTCAAGACGCTATCGCGCCAGAAGATTGCTGGCAACATCGACCGTGCAAATCAATAAGACCTCAGAATTATGCATCAGCCGTGCAAGAAACTAAACCTGCTCCATAGACTCTGCAAATGCTCTCCACGATGTTGACCACGCAGACTCACCTCTAGCACCATCTTGTGACGAACTCGATGTCCCCTCAATAAAAGATAAGCACCCTCTGCTGCAGCGATCAAGACGCACACGCAAAGACTAAGATGGCTCCAATGGTCGACCAGAGCAGGGTGTGGCGATCGAGTAAGTGAAAGAGAGCAGCGAGAGAGACGAGCTCAGAAACTGTGAACGTGATCTGGAGAATAAACAAGCCCGCTCTTCAAGTGGTGTGAGGTTTGGGCTGGAAAGGCGGAGATGGGCGCCGGGCGGAGAAAAAGACAGCGCACCCAACTTCAAGTGGTTGCGATATTCTTGTTCGCGTATCGAAATCGAAGCTGTGAAATCGAAACGCAAACTTCTTCAAGCGTTGAAAACGGGGCTTTCAAGGTCAGAGTCTTCGACGCTCGCGCTTTTCGAAACCTGAAGAAATGAACAAATGCATGGTCAAAGAGTTTTCATTCTTGTGAGAAAACAGCCATGGCTTCGCTCCCTGGGCTCCAGCGTCTTCCTCTTCGAACTCTAGAAGGATAAGCGGCCATGGCCTCCGCGCCGCAGACGAGAGTCGAGCAGGTTGAACCACAGAGAACGGGACTGAAAGGTGATCCTCAGCTGGCGACGCTGAAATCCGACCCTGTCGGCAAATACGACTCGAGCTTGGGGAAAGGGCATGATGACTTCCCGCAACGCGAGAAGGCTACGCATTCATTGCTGAGTTTCGGGCCAAACAAAGGACTGGAGATGTCGAAGGGGCAGTCGAGTGGTGGTCTGCCTCAAACGTTGCAAGAGGCACCGTTCATGAAATCAATCCAAGGGGGAAGCAATCAAGAAGGTCTCAAGCGGGTTGGACTTGCCCAAGACGCATCTGTCTGTGCCGGGAGGGAATTGGAAGCTAAGCAGCATGGTGATTCGATAGAATCAGGCGCAACTGGAATTGTAGCACCTGCTGCAAAAAGGGAACCGCTGCGGAGCAAGCGGTATGTCCCTCCCAAGCAAATTGACATCAACAATCTCGGCGAGCCAAGCCCCGCAGGCTCGTCCCCCAGCCCCTCTCAAACTCTCAAGTCTCCAGGCCCTTCCCAAAGATCTTTGGCCGACAGAAGCACTGCGGTGCTCGCTTTGCCAGCAGCCTTACCCCCAGGATCGCAAGCAGAGTCGCAGCGGCAACTTCCAACCCCCCGACAATCTAAGAAGCACGCAGTTCTGACCATTCCCGTTCCCGCTCCTCAAGTCAAGAAGCCTCCAAAGCCCCAGGCCCATAACCATACCCCTAACCATGCCCCTAACCACACACCTCGCTTTCCGCAACCGGTCAATCCGCCTCCATCAAGCCGTCCGCACTTTCCAAACAAACCAGAGGTGGCTCCCCCTCCGGTGGAGAAGAAGAAGGATGCGAGGACGCTCTCTGTGAAAATCTGGATGTTGGAGCAGCTGCTGAAAAGTGACAGCGTCGATGCTGGGGCTGTTGGTAGTGAGTCGCTCTCACACCTCTTTACATACTTATCTTGTTTCTCTGGAGATTAGAGAAGTCTGCGACCATGCGAGCATCTGAGACGCATCAGCAGTGCTTACTTGTGGATGGGCGACGAAAATCTGGATTGAGATTGATGATATCCTTCCATGGTCACAGGGATTTATCAGTGCCTTATTCAAGGTTGTTTCTGGAGCGTCATCGGTGACATAAGCTGCGTCAAAGTGAATTTGCAGATGGGGAACAGAAAGTCAACAGCAACATCTGGCGGTCAGCAATAAAACCGATCAGATTCTCAGCAACAAACCCAGTCAGAACCTCACAGGATCAAGCAAGTACATACATCATCAGCATTTGAATAAAATCACAGTCAATTGGAAGAATCCATACACTAAAACACCCAACTCTCCGTCGCAGGTCTTGTTCAATGTGACATGAGCCTTGTGAATGGAGCGCCGCGGTTGAAAAAGCTGTATGCAACCTGGCGCATTCGCGAACTAGTGCGGTGCGGGAGAGTACCAGCCACTGCAGAGGACTTTGGGCTTCTGGATGAGATACTTCCGGCTGATCAGGACCGCACGCAAAACCTACTGCTGAATCTGAAAACAGAGGTGATTTTCTTGCCGTTTGGCACTCCCATTGTCGGCCACCTTTTTCCTGTGCCTTTCTGTGCCGTACATTTCTGACAGGAATCGGATGCTCTTATTCTGCACAAACTGGCAATGCACGTTATTCAGCAACCCTATGAAGAACGGCAATTGCGACTTGTTCCCTTCGCAGAGGGCTGTCAGTTGTGCTTGTCAATCAGTCTGCTGCAAGCGTTATCCTCGTTCGTCCACATAAGTGACATTGTTGCCAGTGAATTGTTGTTCCAGTATCTTGTCGCATTCAGAAACCGAAAATAGACAGCAACAGAGTCAATTTTTCTCCTTCAAGAGTTAAGGCAGAACATGTCCACGGTTGTGGTTGAGCTCGATCTTGCAAGTGACTCAGTCTAGTCTTGGGATTGAGTTCGTTTCTTCTCTCCCGTTCAGGCCGTCATTCAACACCTCCGAGTGACGGACGACCGTGCCGACCGCAACTGGAAGCTGTTTTCCTGGGCGCTGCGCCTATTTTTTACCGATGGGGGGGTTTCGTCCGTGGCCTTGCAAGCAAGACGTGCCGAGTTGCTGGCAGCCGAGAAGGTGTGAAATCTTCAAGCGGAATGTGTAATGCAAAGGATTGGACTCCATTAAGTCGAAGCTTGTGCATGGGACCCAGTGTTGTGACGAATTCACGTGGCTCAAGGGTCACAATGGCTGGTGCAGAAACGGCAGCAAAAACTCGTCGAGACTGTATGATTGGATCTTTGAATCATCAGCCGTTCGTTGATAAAGGCAGGGTCGATTGCTACATTATACTACACCGATCGTTTCAGCAACTCTGATTGTCATAGAGTAAGCACAAGCACTTTGCGAGGCCCTTGCGCGAGTCGCTTTTTCCCCTGAATTGCACGATTTGTCAATTGGCGCGACAATCTCGTATCTGGCCTCGCATCTCTTGTCTTTGGAAAGGTTGTCAGGTCGATAGAATCGATCAGCATCAACAGCTTTGTTTCATTTCAGCGTTTTGTCCGTTGTCTTTCGAAGGACTGATAACTGGACTTTGCCGGACAATGTAGTAATTGCCTTGACCCGGACGGCGTTAGTCGCAACTTCCAGGGTAGGTCCAGTGCAGAGTTCAGAGGATTTCTGGTTTCCAAACAAAGAAGCAGCTCTTTGCGCAAATGTGTGACCCCGCCCTAAACCCTCAAAGTGCGAGTTGCAATACCTCGTCGTTAGGTGCCCTTTTCGTGAGTCATCGGATGGTCCAAGATAAGGAATTATGCTTCAGGCGATTGGAGAACGTTTATTAACTTTGACGATGATGGACGGCGATTCCACAATGAACACACGGCTTATGGGTCCTGCTTTTGACGTTTCGTTTGTGCAGGCGCGGCGAAAGCAAGTGGCCGCAAAGGCTCTGCTGGCGCGTTACCCGCTCGAAATTCTGCTGCAGCAGCTGCGAATGGTCGTAGAAGAGGCCAAGTCGGACGAGCCCACGTTTCTTGAACAGGTGCGCTTTGGATCAAGTCTACATCTGCAACATCTGTTATTGTTACATTGATTGATTGTCGGGGCCTTCGACGATGCTTGCTGTATTGCTTGTCGCTTTTTGCGGGCCGATCGTTTTCTACTTCGTTCATTTTCTAACATTGTTCGGTTTAGGCTGGCTTCCGACTAACTCCGATGGTGTTTCCGTTTTCCGGGTTTCCCCATTTTCCGATCGAGCGAGTCACCACCAAGGAACGAACGGAACGCAACCCCCTAACTTTGACGTCTCTGATCACTCGTACACAAGCACAGTTTCTTTGGCCCCCTTGCAGGTCTTCAATGACGTCAGCACGCAGAAGTACGTCCCCTCGTCCCCGGCGCCGCTCCTCACGGACCTCGAGGCGGTCGCGTTTGCGGAGGCGGACGCTCGAGAAAACCGGCAGACGGATCTCCGAAACGGCTCTGGCTTTTCCGGGCGGGAGCAGGGCCTCGTCGACGTAGACGAGCTCGAGCGGAAAGCCGGGGGAAAGAAAGGGAGCAAATCTGCCCCCTTGAACGGGGCTTTTGCGACCCGGGGGATCCTCGGGGGAGCTGCCGTTCATGCACCGGCGAGTCGGCGAAACCTGGCGTTCAAGCCCGGAAAGCACAAGCCCCCTTCGGGCCCTGTGGAGATAGTTGTCCCGCGGCCAGTAGGGACGCCGATCCGGGAACGGTGGTGGGAGAAGCAAATACGGGGCCCCAGCGGAAAGTTCTTTGCGCCCGCGGCAAAGAACGCGCGGATCGAGAATGGGTTCGGGGGGGGCGCCGAGAGCGGCGGGGAAGGGCGGGGAAAAGCGAAAGGGGGTGGGGGACGGATGTCCGGGCTGGGGCCCGGGGCGGAACGGACCAGGTTGGAGCGGAACGGAACGGAACCGAATGAGGCCCGGATGAAGGAGCAGGAGTGGGTGAAAGAGGCGGGGAAAGAGTGGGTCGGGGGGCCGGAAGAGCCCGGTCCGAAGAAGAAGCGGATCTTGGACGTTGTGATAGAGGGGGGGGGCGGGGAGGGCGGGTTTGCATTGGGGGGGAGGGCAGACGGCGCGGTTGTTGAGGGGGGCTCAGCGGAACCGGAATCCGCAGGAGCAGCGGAAGAAAGGCCGCGGAAAACGAGCCGGGAGAGGAAGTCGAAGGCCCGGTGGCCGGACTACGAGTGGTGGGACGGTTCGGGGGGGGCGTCGGAGGGGTCGGCGGAGGGGGGAGAATCGGAGGAGGAAGAGAACTGGGCGGTACTGGGGGAGGTCGACGAGAACGACGGGCACGAGGGGCTGTGCAAAGTGTGCGGACAGCCGGGGACGCTGCTGCTGTGCGAGGGGTGTCCGAAGGTGTACCACTATAAGTGTGCGGGGCTCGACGAGATGCCGTTGGAAGACAAGTGGTGGTGTCCCGCGTGCGAGGCGTCGCAACCGTTGGGGGGGAGCGCAGATGGTTATGCGGGTCTCGGGGGGTTGGAGTGGGGGAGTGCGGAAGATGGGCTGGCAGGGGGCGGGGACGCGCGGCCCCGGCCGAGCGGGGAAGAGGCAGCGGCAGCGATGCTTGTAATGCTAGGCGATGGAAACGGCGGCTGAGTATGCGTCTGGTGTTTCTTGAGTGGCAAGTCTGATCGAGCGAGACACTGATGAGCAGGGTAGGGACAGACACGCAAGCTCTCGTGGAGAACGACTGCCGTTGTTCTTACCGACCTGCAGTCAGCGAGCTAGCAGGGTGGCAAGAGGGCGTGCAAGTGAGTTCGTCCACACGGTCGTCTTCAGACAGCGTATGCATCTCCCAAACACATCCGGCTATCTTCGCTGCAGCCGTACGTAATATCCTTCCATGCAAGGCGTCATGATGTGCCAGGACGAATTCTCGTACCCGTACGTTGCATGTCCATGCGATGATGGTATGGTTATTATTACCGTACGGGTGGCATCCGATGCCAGACTGGGAACGTGAGCCGGGAACAATCAGTCAATAGTCGAACAATCATGGTGCCTGTATAAGTTCAGGTCGCGCGTTGCCGCGGCCCTGATCGAATACGCATACCAAACAGGCTGTCCCTGAGTGCCGCCGCGGCCCGTACGCCGATCCTGGTGCAATGATCTGCCACTGGCTTATTACCCGAGCTCGCAGTGCTATATATCATGCTTGTCGGGAGCCTGTACGGAAAGCACCTAGTACGCGCTGCATGAAAGTCGGCGTTTCATAATCATGACCGAATCCCTGTCGAGTGAATTGTGTTCCGGAAGCAACTTCAGTAATAGTCGGCGGTATGCACACGGTATAATAGGGCATGGGAGCAGGCCAAGATTTACGCATGGCCAAAATTCTTCTGTACTTAGGAGAAATTTAAGGATGACAGTCCATGCCGAGGTTGCACGTACCAGACTGAGGGCGGGCTACATACGAAGCGCAGGAACGAAGCAGGTTGACATGTGCTATGCTATTCAGTCAGCTTCGATCTTTCACTTTACAGTAATTCAACTTTTGTCGATCTTCAAATTCACACCGGTTCTACGAAGAATGACCTAGGAAAGCCTCTTCCACAAGCCTTCCCTGGAGCTGTTATTCTGGTAAGTTTGGCACAATCCCAGACTCGGGCGGAACCACTTCAACACGCAGCGGCTGGCAGCTCGTCCCTCTCGGGAAACAGCTTCTTGGACCGCTTGTGCTGTCGAAAGCGCGAGTAGAGCCCCAGTACGCAGCACCACAGGCACATAACAGCCGCTATGGAGCAAAGAACAATCAGAAAGACAATCAGCACCGTTGCGTCTGTCGTTGTGGGCTGTAAAGGAGTGGCCGCCGCGGGCGCTTGCTTTTCGGCGGCCGCGCTTGCAAAGTCGCTTGGCTCTGCAAGGGAAAAGGCAAAGAAGCACGGTTGATCCTTCCGACGCGTTTGTTGAGAAATTTCATGTGCAATGAGGTGGCCGGGGTGCGTCAATCTTGTACTTGTCTACAAATTGAAAAGCGGGATGCCTCGAGTGAACAGGCAGCAACTGGGACCTTTTGATATGGTTGAAATATGAACGCCGGTAAAGTTGATAAAGAGTGTGCACCGACGTTTGTGAACCGAGCCACGGATGCAGCCACCAAGACACTTCGTTTCGGATCCATTAAGCAGTTGGCACGGTGGACCGCTCGAGAAAGATGGAAAAGGAGATGTTCTCCCCTTCTCGAAAGTCCATTTGCAGAAGAACGGACTTCATAAAGGCATCCGGATATGCAAGCGCCTATATCAGATGCTGGCACACGCTTGTCGCGTTGTCAAGCTTTAAATCGCATGCAAAGTTTACCTTGATCATTTGCCAAGTCGGCGACCATGGTGGTTTCCGCTTGCAGCAAACGCCGGCCTTTCCCTGCAAACATACTATTGCACAGCTTTTGCAATTATGTTAAATTGTTCGAAACATTTCTGCGACAACGAGTTCCGCGCTTCTTACATCTGCCACGAATCCAGAATTTTTTATTTTATTACCCCACGTAACGGCGGCTTACGTTCAGCACAGCTACCTCAGAGCTTCGAAGCACATTGCCATCTTAGCTGCATTCCCTGCTTTTGGGACCGTAACGATCTGCCTTCGAAGGTCCGGAAGGGGCAAGCGTGTCCGGCTGAAAGGTTCTGCCGTTGAGATACTCTTCCCATGAGCTTAGATTTTCAATAATTTGTGAGACTGCTACCCATAGTATGATCGTTATCCAGACGAACTTGATTTAAGAAAGCTCATTACCATGCTGAGACGAACCTGCTGGAGATACAAATGAAACCCCGGCCATTTAACCCTTCAGCTCGCCTTCTCAAATGCGATAGACCTCAAAACCTCTTGAAGTCTGCTTACCCCGGGCGCCGCTCAAACAAAGGAACTGCATCACCATTAATCATTTGACCTCACCTTCTGTCCTGATCGCGGCAACTTCGCGCGTAACCATTCCCGTATCCCAGGGGTCGCCGTTACGCCGTCGGACCGCCTCCGCGTTGAGGACGTCCGAAGCAAAGTCGAAGAAGATGCTGTCCAAATATGAACAGGCGGTTGCCCGCGCTTACGTTTGGCTTTCCGTTCAATGTCAGTGCGGCTCAGTTGGGCGCGAGACGAGCCATGCAATTTGTCGAGACCGGTGAACGTGTTGCGGAATCCAGCAACCTGTCGCATACCTCCACCCACTTTCGTGCACCAACCTCAGCCGAAGGCGGTACGGTTTATTGACTTGGTGCTGGTCGTCTTGACGTAATCTCTTGATCTACAAGATCTCAGAAAGACCAAGCTGCGTTCCTCATCGGTCTGCAAAAGCTCAGTTAGAAGCGTAGCAACATACCGAGATGGGAATCTGTCGGCTCTTATCATCAGGCCCGTGTCAATCGAACGCTTCTTAGTCGAAGGTGATATTTGGTATGAAGCCCGACGCCCAAACGTACTAGGTTAGAAGCGGTCGCCTTTCGACCTCGCAGATGCTCGATGAGAGGCTTAGCAACTTCAAGAGAAGGTTTCATGACCGATTTATTCAAGCGGCCCCGTGCCTAACGTCCTGCCCAACGTGCTGCACTTTTGCACAAAACGATCCCCACATTCTGCTGAGACCCACCTGGTCAAAGCTCTTCGTCACCTGAATACCCTGAAAATGCCCATCGGTAGCACAACAGATTGAATCAAGCGTAATGAAAAACCTCTTAACTTACGTACGGAGCTCCTAGATGACATGCTCCGCGAGTAGATCTCTACGTCGAAGACGCGAGACGCGCGAAACCCACCTGTCCGAAACCGCCTCTCGGCAGAAGCGCTGTATGCTTGCGGGCAGCCGGCTGAGTGTGAATGCGCCCAAGAGAAGGAGAACTAGAATGGACGGAATCGTCATCTGAGCGAGCCTTTCCGGCGGCAGCCTGTGAGGGCGCGCCACGTGGGGGGAGGAGAAGACCTGCCCAGGCACCGGAAAGTCCATAAAGTTCATCGGTGGAAAAGGAAGGGGCAAAAGCGCTGAGTAGACGAAGCCTTCTTAAACAAACGCCGAATTGGGAGTCTGCAAGCTTAACACACTTCGCTTTGTGAAACCAAGCAACGTCTCGGGTGCGCTTTCAGCTTCATGCGACAAAGGACGCTACCTTTCAAGGGTGTGCGTTACGCCTGAGCTTTGGGTTACTAGCCAAGCGTCCTGTTCCGCAAGAATCTTTACGGAAGAAAAACGTCTTGGTTCTTTCAGTCCACCAACTTCTTCATGATCTTCCTTGTCAAGCAGAAAGAAGGAAGTGAGGAAAGAGAGTCTGTTTGAATCAATGCTCGACAAATCAAGACTGTACTTTCCTGCCTGCTTCTGACCATGTATGTAAGAGCTTCGATGTGCTTCCTACGTTAGCCTTGGACAAAGAGAAGATGGACCGCTTGAGAATCGCTGTGCAGATTTAAGGCGATTCTCACAATGGAGGCGGCTTCGTGTGGAATTGGACACTCCTCGTACTAAAGGCTTGATCTTTTGGTGCCCCTGAATGAAAGGCTGGTTGTGAGATCCTGAGAAAACAACTTCGTCAAAAGAGGTCAGCCAGAACATCTGCCCCAATGTCACGCTAAGCTCAATTCGGAACGGTTGACGAACGTCTGAATGCTCTCGTCGATTATTGCGAGGATCATCAATGATTCAATCATCTTAGATTGGATCTTGTATCGGAGCGCGTACGTCATATGTATGCACGCGCAAACGATCTGGTGTTCTTCTGATATTTTGACGTACGGCCGTGCTCGCACTTCAACTGAGACGACGAATCAGACCTGGTAGTCTGTCTGGATCTCTACACCAATGTCAGAACCCTCAGCTGCCTGTAACGTGCCAGCCCTGACAAGCGACCTCAGGTCACTCAAATCTCCTGGACTGGGGCGCCGACCTTACCTTAATCATGGTGCGCCATCGGACGGTTGGAAGGATCAAAGTTTGATTGTCATTCATACTTCTATCATAAGGACCGTAGCTTGCGCCATGGCCCGAACGGTGTCAACACATCATTCGATTGAGTTCGATGAAGTTTTGAAAAACAGGGTCTGCGAAGCTGAACCTAGCTGCTAGGTAGTAGTCGCTTCAGATAAGGCCCAGCCCTTTCAGTTGAGGGCTTCCTACCGATTAAGGAAGATGACTCCAGATTTCCGCTTAGCTACGAGTAGGTAGATTGAGTGGCCATGTCTTCCTTGGAAAAGTTCAGACGCTATTCAAGCCAGCTGCCAGAACGACTGGCAGACTGGCGCTCTGAGCGGAGGCACGAGTCTGGCCTGCACCAGCTAATTGACTCTCTTGTAATATTGGGACTCCGCTTGAACCAGCTTGGACTCTGATTTGCTCAGCTTATGGTGGGGTCGTATTGACAAGACATAGCACCGGATGGATGCAGTGCATGTTCCATAAGATGAAAACGTCGCTACTAATACAGCAGCACTCGACTCTGCTGTAAAACAATGCCCAGCCTGTTCTGTGCTTTTCAAACCCGGAACCGGGCTCATACGGTACCGTACTGTTACAAGGGTGCCAGCGCGCAGCTTTGATACGTACTGTGTTAACCACGTGGCAAAAAAATGCTTTTGATTGGCTAGGACATCCCGAGCAATTGAGAGCCGAGAACTATCCTGTGACTCGGATCCTCAGAGTCAAGGTAGGACCATGTTTCGGCAGTACTGCAGTTTTGGCACTGGCACCAGTGCGCCCATGGGGAGCGCGGCTTGCTTCTTGTGCCACAAGTTTCAGAGCAACATTTGGTGAGAGTACGCTACATAAAAGGCTTTGGAATAAGAGGTTTTGGAAGCTGCATGCATCAGAAAAAGGGGTCACCACCTGACAAAAACACCTTGGATTTTTCCAATCAGCAGGACAGCGTTTGATGGGCTCCAATTCAGCAGAAGCTTCATACAGCAAAATTGGTGCCCCCCAAAGCTCTCCTCGGGTAGATATACGCCCTCCTCAATTTGAATCTGAGACCCTGACTTCAGACTTCTGATGGCAGCGCATGATACTTCCAGCAAAAAGTACAGTTCTGCACCTTCTCCTCCAGCATCAAGCTCAGAGGAAGGGGTGATGGCGCCCCTGCTGCTGCGGCGAGGCGAGCATGCCTCCAGAAGCAATCACAACGGGGGGCTCAGGAAGACTGCGATTCCGGCAGGGGGGGAAGCGGAGGGGGCGGCTTTGAGAAGGAATGTAGCGGGGGATGATCTGGAGAATGGGGAGAAGACGAGTGGCAGCTTGTGGAGAGTTTTTGCACTGGCGCGGCCGGAGAGGACGATGATCATAATTGGAACAGTTGCTTTGCTGGTGTCTGCGGTGGCGAATATTGCACTGGTGAGGCTTCAACCAATTAGGATGAAGTCCTAAGAAGTGGCTTGATATGAGTGTTGAAACAGTAGAATTACTGATAGGATGCTCGTGTACATCCTGTTTCCCGAGAGATACAGCTTCAGCCTTTGCCCATTTTGGCAACAAGTTTTGGAAACTGACGCCAGGAGGCTGTTCTGGGCAAGTTTTTATTGAAGATTGGGCATGGATCTTTTCTGAAGGGAGGTTGTTGTGTAAAGTCAATTGGTTGCTGGTTGCAATCAGCAGGCGGCGCTCATTGCTGGTAAAGGAAACGTGAAACTGTTGTAGTGGTCCTCATACAAGCCTAAACCGTGTTGTTCAGTATGAGCATGATCAGATTCTAGATCTCCTCTTTCCCTTTTCAAATCAGAAAATGACATGGGGTTGTTTTGAGAGCTATTTGACGTGGATCCGCTCAACTTTGGGTGCATGGGCTTAGTTGAGTGTTCTTTCTGCCGGGAAAGGACTGTTGTGAGGTCATATACAATTGGCTGTCCTTGCTGTAGGTATGTTTGAGCTCCATTGAGAAAGCTGCGTGTCTTGCGGCTGTCCTTGGAGTTTCTGATCTTGAAAAGGACTCCCACATCCTTTTTCCATTAATGTCTGCAGATCCTCCAACGCCTAAACTTGTCCAAATGCCCCTCTAAACCTCTCTCATCACCCACTTCATAAACCCTTCATTTCCCCCGCTTTGCAACCCCGCTTTGCCGGCCATAGAGACTATTGTCCCTTGGATATCTACTGACTAGATTGTGTTTCTGGAAGCTCTCCTCAAACCTCTCTCATCACCCAGTCCCTTAAACCCTTCTGCTATGAATACCTCTCTTATAACCCAGTTCTTAACCCTTTTGTTACCCCCACTTGCAGCCCGGTTGCCGGCCAAGTCGTAGATTTTGTTGTCCCTCGGATGTCTATGGACTGTATTGTTTTTTCTGGAAGCTCTACCCAAACGTCTCTCATAACCCAGCTGAGTTCTTCCTTCTATCCAAAGTTCTCTCATAACCCAATTGTTAACCCTGTTGTTACGCCCCCTTAGCAGCCCCACTTCGCCGGCCAGGTTCAAGATACCGTCCAAGACACTGATGTCCCTTGGAGTTTGCTGACTCAATAATGTCTCTGGAAGCTTCACTTAAATTTCGCTCACAAACCACTCGAAACCCTTACTTACCCCCCCCCTTGCAGCCCCGGTTCGCCGGCCAGGTCATAGACACTGTGACCTCCCAGATTGGAACGGACCCTTCTCCGGAAGCAAAGGCAGCCGCAAAGCGGGCGCTGGACGGCACGATTCTGCAGATTGTCTTGGTTGTGTTGGTTGGGGCTGCCGCAACTAGCCTGAGGACTTATCTCTTCCAGGCGGCGAGCGAGAAGGTGGTTGCCCGGTTGCGGCGCCAGCTGTTTGCCTCGCTGGTCAACCAGGTTAGTACGGTTGGGTGGAATGTTAAGAAAGTTAGTTGTACCATGTGGTTAGGCGAGCATCTTTGTTGAGGATCAGCTCTTCAGCTGGGCAAGACTGCATTTGGCAAAAATTGCATTTCAGTTCCTTCATTATGAAAGGAATAACGAAATTTGGTGTCTCTTTGGATTGCACCAAGTGAGTCCTTTCCTTTCGATTGGTGCTTTTTAAATCTAGAAAAAGTGTGCTCCTATTTGCCGTTGCATTTGAAATCAGAAACGAACCTCTGCGAAGAGTACACATGCTATGACTTCCTCGGGATCGACTGTTCCAGGACGACGCTTTATGTCGCGTTATCATTCTTGTCTGACCGTTCTCTCATATTTTTATAGCCCTGTAGCCTCTCCATCTCAGTAGCAATCCCCCGAAGTCTGAATTCCTCGACTTCTCTATGCTAACAGCCACCCTCCAAACTCTGAATCCCGAATCCGTATTGACGAACTTGGCAAATGACCTCAAAAATATTCATCCAATCTCCAGGATATCGGCTTCTTTCACACCATCCGCATCGGCGAGCTCCTGAGGCGGCTCTTGGAGGACACTCAAGTAATCAAAACGGTGTCAAAGACGCACCTAAGCGTTCATATTCGAATCCTCATCCACCCAAACCCAAAAGTGACCTCACAAATCTTTTTTCTAATTTCCAGGATATCGGCTTCTTTGACACCACCCGCACTGGCGAGCTCCTGAGCCGGCTCTCGGAGGACACCCAGGTGATAAAAACGGTGTCAACGACGCACCTGAGCGAGATGCTGCGCAGCGTTGCCACCGCAAGTCTCGGCCTCGCATTCATGGGCTCTACGTCGTGGCGCCTGACGGCGCTCGCGTGCATTATCATCCCACCGGTCTCAATCATTGTGCGCTCGTACGGGCGGTACCTGCGGGAGCTCTCCCGACGGACGCAGGTACGGATCTTTGAAGGCTGGTCCGGAAGTGTCTAAAGTTCCTAGATTCGAGAGAACAGAGGTTTTTGCAATGCTTCGTGTTGGTCGTCGAGCGCTTGCATGGGCAGTTTTAGTATGGGCTCTCGAAGCAGATACAAGTATGTTCAGATCTATCATCTTCTGGTGTCTCCAAAACGGAGCCTCGTGGGGCAGCGCCTTATGGTGCCAGTAATGACATGACGTGTCAGTATATCGATTCCGAGAATGATGAGTGTGAGCAATCATGTGGAACGCTTCTTGCAAAACCGCTCTGGCTAGACGACGCCGCAAAATTCTTCAGGAGATTGTAACTCGATGTTTCGTAGACCCTAAACCTCAAATTTTCCCCGTCCTTGAATCTCGACAGCTGCGGCTGTACAACCGCCGAGGATCCCGAAACTTTTCTTGAATCTTAAATTGAACTCCTGGAACTCTTGTTTATGCGTTACTTACAGTGAGTGTTGGAAGTTGCGGCTTACACAATCGTCAAAGGCGCCCTTGGCGCTGTTCGAATCGCTCGCGGCAGAAGCGGTCCCTAGAAGTGAATCGAGGCTCTAAGCTTCGTGGAATCGGGAGGTCCTTCCAAACCGTATACCCTAAACCCTCTGAAACCCTTTTCCCGAACAGGCGTCCGCAGCCGCTGCTTCTGCGACCGTCGAGGACGCCCTCGCCGCTGTGCGGACGGTCCGCGCTTTTGCCCAAGAGGCTTCAAAGAAGGAGGAATCCAAGCCCCTGAAGCATGAAAACCTCAGGTTTCAACTTTCTAAATACCAGCCCTTGTTCACCATATTCTTCACCATATTATTCACCATTATACTTATCACCAATCTCAAACTCTGAAGTCGTTGTTTCTCACAGGCGTCTGCAGCCGCTGCTTCTGCGACCGCCGAGGACGCCCTCGGCGCCGTCCGCACTGTCCGCGCGTTCGCTCAAGAAGCGTCCGAAGGCGCGCGGTACGGCTCGAAAGTCGACGAGTCGCTCCAGTACGGGATTGCGCAGGCCCGCACGGTGGGCTGGTCTTCCGGCGGCCTTTTCGCTCTGTCCTCGGGGGCTATGGTCGCCGTTCTGTGGTACGGCGCGCGGCTGACGATAGCGGGGGAGCTCAGCGCAGGCGCGCTGTCCGCGTTCGTGCTCTACAGCCTCACGGGTGAGGGGCCTGACGTCACGGTGGCGTCATGGGCTTTGCCCTGCACCGCTTGCGTCGGTGGCGGGCAATATTGGAGAAAGTTTGGGTGGCTATCAGACACATTTTTGGTGGTGCAAAACTTTCTCGAGACGTTGACCTGTTGCAGCTGGAACAAGCCGGCTTCTAGCAAGCTCTCGTTCATGGGTCGTCTGGTTAGTAGTATCGTCCTCAAAAGCCACTTCTTGAATTCTTCGGTTCCTTCAAAGTCCTTGCCTCCTAGGCTTTTCTTTCTGAATATCTCTTGCTCGTGTTCCCTCGGTCGTTGCCTCTTTTGACGATCCTTTTGACAACCATTTACTCTCGTCTGCTCGTGTACCAATCCCACCCATTGCCAAAGATGTGCTCTTTAGCAGCTCGCTTCGCCTCTCTTTCTATACACTTCAGCGCGTTCAATGTTCGATAATAGAAGCTTCATGCTCTCCTCCGCTCTTGGTTTGCCGTCCAGTTTCTTCGGCTTAGCAGGTTTTTGAAGCCCCTTGCCTGCCTACTTTCTAGTGGTTTCTTGATCTCCCCTTTCAACGTCCCTTCCACTCATTTCGCGGTGGCGTCCTTCTTCCTTTCTCCTTCATAGAATCTTAAAGCAGCTTCTCTCGTGAAAGCACTTCGGTTTCTCCTGAACTTTTTCTTTAGAACAACAATTTTGCTCTTCTTCCCAGTCGGTTTCTCCCGTCCCTTTCAGCCTGTACGCCACCCTGATGCGGACAGTCGAGGCAAGCCACCGGCTGTTTGAGCCGAACCACTTGTTAACCACGTATTTCTTCCATGTTTCTCCAAAGCTTAACCACTCCCTAACCTTGTTTTCCGCAGTCGGTTTCTCCCTGGCGTCCCTTTCCAGTCTGTACGCCAACTTGATGCGAGCGGTCGGGGCCAGTCACCGGGTGTTTGAGCTCCTGCAGCGGCAGCCAAGTATGCCCCCGGCAGGCGAAGAAAGGCCCCGGGGTTCCGGGCAGGGGGGGGAGGTTCGGCTGGAGAACGTGTGGTTTGCTTACCCCTCCAGTCCGGAAACGTGGATTTTGAAGGTAAGCTTTCGTGGGCATTCTTTGATTCGCACCTCTTGAAGTTGTATGGTTCGGATGATCCTGGACCCTAGAGTCTGGATGGTTTAATTGACTCAGGATCCTAGAGTCTGGATCCGGACGAAAGGCCTGGTGAATCCGGACAGGGAGCGGGGGTTCGGCTGGAGACGTGTGGTTTGCTTTATCCCTCCAGCCCAGAAACCTGGATTCTGAAGGTGGGCTTTTGTGGGCCACTTGGTCGTTTGTACGATCACAGACTAGGCATGCCTAGTTTATGAACCCTCGGTCTTCGGAAGCTGGGTGGAATTGGTTTTTGTTTGGGGGGCGAGGAAATCTTGAGGAATTTGGGCATGAGGAAGAGGTTGGGCTTGAGACCGTTTGGTTTGCCAAACCCCTTCAGTCCGGAAACTTGGATCCTAAGTTGGGGTTCTGTGGTTCCTCTTTGATATGTGCGGCTTCAAAGGACGTGTAAAACCTGCGTCCGAAGCTTGTGCGATGGGCGCTTTGTGGAGTCTGCGGATGTTGACCCCGAGTACTGGGATCAAGGAGTGGCGCAAAAGCATTTGGTGCCGGCATAGGAAAGGACGGCGCAGTGCAGCGATTCTATTTCAGTCCTAGCTGATTCTGTCGCCCTCTGACCACGCTCCCGCTCTTTCTCAACCTTGGCGCGACGATTGCATCGATCGCAACCTTGACGATTGCAACCTTTGTACTCCCTCTACGGGGCAGCCAAGGACTCGTCTACCCAATGAATTCTCCCCACCTCTAACCATAACCCATTTCTTAACCCAGGGCGTGGACTTGGTCCTAAAACCGGGCACTCGGACCGCGCTTGTTGGCCCGAGCGGCGGCGGAAAGACGACGATCGCGAATCTAGTAGAGCGCTACTACGATCCCACCAGCGGACGGATTCTGTTGGACGGCGTTCCGCTTCCGCTCGTCGACCATTCGTTCCTGCACCAAAAGGTGCGCACGTTTTGGAACTGTCAGTTGTATGGAAGACTGCCACTTATTTGTCAGGGTTGCACTTTGCCCTTGCAAATGAGGAACGAGTCGGCCAGTCACTGGTGGAGGGTGTCCCATTTCCGCTCGTCGATCATTCGGTTCTGCTCCAAAAGGTACCTGCAATCTGCATTGTCCGTTGTCGAGTTGGAAAAGAAGACGCGGTTGTGCTGCGAGACATGTCGTGATTTGTATTTTCATGCCAACCACTCTTTCTGCAGCAGATAATGTCCGTCTGTCACGTGCGGCAATCAAACATCGGGAGACAAGTCGCACAGATTGGTAGAAGCAAAGTTGCTCTGTGCAAGTTGGGCGATCGGTTCTGGGTGCCTTTGCGGTTTTTGTTGACTCTTTTTCGCGTCAGAAGGATGAAACAACGGGACTTGCATTTTTCATAGGGGTGAAGAGATCCTGCTTCAAAACTTTTGAAGACGAAGTTGCGATGATGTCCGGCGAAGTTTCCGCCGTAGTAGGGCAATTCTTATTATAAAGCACAGTAAGAAGAAGAAGAATCAAAAGAATCATAAGCTTCTTTTGCGCAAGGTACAATTTTTCAAGCGACTACCGCATACATTTGCGAAGACAGTGGCTATGGACAAAGTGACCCGACTTCTGTTACCAACCAGCCTATGCCGAGAAAGTAGAGAGCTCCACGTAGAGTGAACCCCCAATTCCTGGTCTTTTTGCAGGTATTTTTGTCAGTCAGAGGGCCGGTCCTCTTCAAGAGATTTAGTGCACGGAAGTTGGGAAGCGAAGAGTGCATGACATGACCCATCTGACACCCGCTGATCATGATCCAAGATTCTCTGGATCTGCACTCAAGATAAAAGTGTTCGATCCCATTCGCCACAGGTATCCATCGTCAGTCAAGAGCCGGTCCTCTTCAACGACTCCATCGCTTATAACATCGCGTATGGCCGGGGCGACGTGCCCCGGTCACAAGTCGAGCAGGCGGCGGTTAGCGCAAACGCCCATGATTTCATCCGCGACTTTCCTGGGGGGTACGAAACAACAGTTGGGGAACGGGGGGTGCGGCTGTCCGGGGGCCAGAAGCAGCGGATTGCGATTGCGCGCGCACTTTTGATGGACCCCAAAATCCGTGAGTATCGGTGTCTAGGCTTGAGGGTTTGATTTTACTACGACTGTCTGGGGGAGGAAAAGCGCGTTTTGTATTCTTGTACTCAACAACGGAACCCCTTCGACGTCGATTTTGATGAGCAGATCCTGGAGCGGTATTATTCGAAGTCCCCTAGTCTCAAGCATGAAAACAGTGACTGGAAATCTGCTTCAACATCTCGTATTTTATGGCCTCTTCTGGCTTCTAACAGCCAACCTTTCCTCCGCCGCTTCGGATCCGTCAAAAGTCCTCGGTCCATTATTTCTGTCAAGTCTCGCTAATATCGTGCATCCGGTGTTTTGCAGTTTTACTGGACGAAGCTACGAGCGCTTTGGACGCAGAATCAGAGCACCTGGTTCAGGTAAGCCTCCTACGAGATCTATCGGCTTTTGGGCTATAAGTGCTTTGTGTAATATTGAGGGCAACCGTTTGCGTGTCGGGAATAAGTGACTTGCTTGTCCTCGAGGGCTACCGTTTGCGTACAAGTGAGAAAAGTCGGCGGCAATAAGTATGTCCAGGATTGTTAGCATAGTAAAGTTGTACGTGACGATAAGCGGCCCGTCAGATCAGCAGAATTTAGAAGTCTGTGCTGGCTCATGCTTTTGGAGGAAGCTTTGTCCTGCCTTAAAGAGTTGTAGCGGCCCTCAAGGTATGCACGATTGGGGAAAAGATCGTTGTATCCTTGTAAGGGAGTACATAAGACGGTTTCTGCATCGCTAGATTTTCCAAGCCTACAGAACTGAAGACTTTGTCGCAGAGAGCCAAACTCCTGAGACTCGACACCCTGACCGCAGGGTTTGTTACACCGCTTGTTGAATGGATGGACGGTTCTCGTGATCTCTTTCACTCTCGTCCTCGAAGTAAGGAACGCACTTCTTTTTCAAACCCCTTCAGCAATCCAGTCATTCAAACTTCAAAACCCTGATTGCAGGAAGCGCTGGACCGGTTAATGGTTGGAAGGACGGTCCTCGTGATCGCCCATCGATTGTCCACCGTCCAAGGAGCGGACGTCGTGGCGGTGGTAGAGGAGGGAGTGATCCGCGAGAAGGGAACCCACGAGGAGTTGATAAAAAAGCAGGGCATATATGCAAGCCTCGTGAAAAGGCAATTGCAAGCGGGAAAGAGTGACTTGACGTTGAGCGAGTTGACGTAATCCCGGCCTAGTTTTGTCCCTCATGGACAAATATCGCGCGCAAGAAGGTCTTCAGATGGAACGCGCAATGGTCTGCGGCCTTATCTCGCGATGTGGGCCGCTTTATTTAGCGCGGCCGCCGCCCATTGTGGATACCGGGTAGCGAATCAAGTGCCTTGCATGTATGAGATCGGCCGCATTGACCATACTCTTGAGGTCGCTGACGCATGCTGCCCGTGCAGCTGCACACATATGTGTATGAACGTGTTGCCCATCTTTGTGATGGATGTCGACACGTCGGACGAGGTCACTCATATTTTTAGCTATGGAACAT